GGCTATTCCACCCACCGCTCCCTTTTGACATCCTTCATCTAGGAGAGAAGTGGACACAGGTGCTGGTGGAATGAAAGATGAGAGAACAGGAAGAAGCGAACTTCACTATGGTGGCTGCTGCCCTCACCGCCTCCTGGGACCCAGGCTTCCATTGGGCCAGCACTGTGCTGACCCTGAGACGCATCCTGGACAGAGAGAGGAACCCAGATGACTTCGCCACCTCTGCTGGCTTTGGCTAAATCCCAGACGCCCCCCGAGATGTGAACCTTTGTGGCCCTTTTCCCTTGTGTCTCTTGTTCCTTCCCTACCTTATTTATTGTCTACGTCTCTTTTTGCCTTCTGTCTAGTAAGAGGCTGACTGTATATTTTGCAACCCTGCTGTGAGTCTGTGACCAGAAAGAGGCAGCTAAGAGCCATGCCCTGCCTAGACAGCCCCATGGCAGGACAAATTTGCAGAGAGGCTCATAAGACCGTGTGCTGTGCCTGTGTTTTTCCAGCAGTGAGGTTGCAAGTGAAAGTCAATACCAGAGACAGAAGCTGCACTTAACACTCTGACCTCATACCAACCCTGAAATGTGCTTGTTTACAAAAATCCAAGCTCCCTTTTGATCAAGTTTTGGAAGGGCCAGAAGGGAACAAAACAAAGCAAAACAACAAAAATGTTTTGTTTCAGTTCCTGAGACACGTTTAATCAGCCAATCGGAGACTTTAAGATCAGGAAACATCTTATCCTACATCCAGAAAATGTGCATCCATTTGCATCTGTTGTCCTGAAACTGTTGCATTTGCTTGATGTGGTTAAAAGACATCTGTCACCTGCACATACACTGCAGAGCCCCTCACCTGGCATTCTGGTCAGGATGCATAATAATCCTTAGTATCTTGATAAATGTGCCTGAAAGAACCGGACCAATGCCCTCTCCTGAGTTCTCTCCACCCCCAAGTGACTTGCCCACAGGACATCATGGGCTAACTTTAACTCTTGGTTCAGTACTGGTTGGGGACCAGGAGCTGGGTTTGGTGGGCTCCGGTTTGAGTGTCCCAGATCACCTTCACCAACAGGCCCCCTCAAGTTCAAAACGGGAGTATGGAGAGTTCTGAGTGGGCCATCCAGTATCCCATTCGCACTAGCGAGTCAGCTATATATGGGACTGAAGCCTGGATCCTCTCTGACTTTGGGTCAAAGGGCTAAGCTCAGCATGTTTGGGGGGGAGGGATAGCTCAGTGGTTTGAGCATTGGTCTGCTAAACCCAGGGTTGTGAGTTCAATCCTTGAGGGGGCCATTTAGGGAACTGGGGTAAAAATCTCTGGGGATTGGTCCTGCTTTGAGGAGGGACTAGAACCTCCTGAGGTCCCTTCCAACCCTAATATTCTATGATATGATTCTATGCCTAGGCTAGGTTGGTTTGTCAGGAAAGGTTTTGAACCAAAGCTTTGGCTCAACGTTTATTCCCTTGACCCCTCAGTCATTTAAATGTACTTTCATGCTTGTCCCTAATCTGCCATAAACTTTCAGGCCATGCTGCCCGGGCAAACCCTTTGCTCCATCATCTGCTTTTAAGCAGCCTTTGAACAAGCTTTAGTGCTCATGCACACAGATGTATCCCCACCAGTTTGCTGCTTTTCCATTTTTTCTGTCCAGAGCAGAGTAAGGGGAGTAGAATACACATCCTATTCCAGACCCCATTTTAGAGGGGACACTAGAGGAGGTATTTTAATGGGGGGCAGTTGGCTATAATCCAGACAATTAGGATCCAGGTCACCCAAGGCTGACAAAATTAGCACAATGGTGTGTAGATTTTAGACCCACAGCTGGGTTTGCTAGACAGTCCACAGAGAGGAGCTACTTAGGTATCAGCAGAGACCAACATACAATGGCTAGATGTTAAATGCATTCTCCTAGCAGGGAGCCTTGCATTTAGGGCTGGAGTTGCTATATTCCTTCCAAGACATAATTTCAAAGATTACTCCTTGCTGCTATGCAGGCAGGGAATTAGCCTCCTAATTTAGATAACCTCTGCTGAGTCTCTCTAGATCAGCACACCGGTCTCATCACTACTAGGAGTTTATTTTCAGCGCTTAGCCCAGCCTGTCCATCTGGGAGCCACACGTGAAGAACAGGGAAAGGAATGGAGGAGGAGAAACAAAGTTCAGTAGGAAGCTACCTGCATTACTCATCTCACGATGCCGACTTGGGCACGCAGAGATGAAACCGTCACACCAGAGACCCTCCGAGTCACTGCTGATCTTATCTTGGTCTGTGGAACAATGACGTTTCTGGGGCCCAGCTCAGAATTAGGGATGTTTCTGACTGGGATGCAGCTGGGCAGATACGTTCTCCTCTGATGAATCTATTTATAGCAGGTGGTGGAGACAGAATCGTGTTGCTTCCTGCAGCAGGGTTTGGAGGAGGATAATGCAGAGCGTAGGCACACTATTAACTGTTTCATCCAAATCACTCTGGATGACGCCTGTTCCTTTGTAGTTTACACTGAACTCCCTAACGGATCACGGTGTGGCTTCCAGAGGGAGAACATAGCACCGGCAGCAGTGGAGCTTGGCTAATGTGCCTCCACCCTGACCTCCAGGGAGAACTTGGCGTAAGAGTCTGTCTTACTAGAGGCAAGGGATTTGCCATTCTGACCCTGGCCTCTTTGCTGAGGCGGGCAGCTAAGGTACCAGTTAGTGCCTGTTGCAATGTGGACAACTGTCCACTAGGCCCCAGCTAAAAACCTTCATACGGCATTTTGTCTCTCCAAAATATTTGTACGGGTTGCCCAACTAAGTTCTGAAGCGTCAGCTCCCCACTGTATTGAAAACAGCGGGGTATATGGACGAGTTGCTTGAGTTGTACAAAGCAGAGAGATTGGGGAACAAGGCTCATTAACTGGGGTTTTGTGGAATTGCTCTAAATTAGGCACAGAAATCAGAAAGAAAAAGAAAAAAACCCCACCAAACCCCAGGGCCCACTTAAAGCTTCACTTATGTAGGCAAGTGAACAGCACCTGGCTGTAGGTCTCTGGCCCAAGGCTGGGAAAGGGGAAGTACTCCAGTTAGGAGTGGTGTGTGGCGAGGAGAGGGGAGCAGCTCCGTGATGTGCGGAGATATTAACACAGGCCCAGCACGCCCGCTAACCAGTCCCCCTTTCCATTCCCATGGAGCATGCCCCTGGCCGGCAGTGAGGTGTCTGCTGAGAACGGCTTAGCGATGTCTGGAGGTGGCACATCATCTTCCCGTGAACTTCAGGCTGTTTTTCATTCGACTAAGGAAGAGCAGCTATTTTGACAGACAGAAAAATCAGGGAATAGGATTTCTTAAAGCCATGTTGAGCTCAAATTCTGCTCTCACACCTATGCAACTACACTGCAATTAGTGGGGGTGCGCGAGCTTAACAGAACACAATTTAGCCCCTCACTGGGGTAGAGAATTGGGTGGGAGGGGATACAATGGCCACCATCTTGGCTGACACACGGGACTGAACTGGGCACTTCCAAAGCTAAAAGCATGAGCTGAAGAGTCAGGGTGCCTTTGCTGGTGGCTGTAACCACTCACGTCCTCTGTGGGTTGGCACGGGGGGGGGGGGGGGGGGGCCGGGGGGGTTTTGGGCGTGTGTTTTCAGAACATCCCCACCGTCTCGAGGAAGTTCTGAATAGCACCGACAGAACCGTGCTGGTCCCAAGTGTCCACGGATTGGTAGAGCTTGCTCTAATAATAAATCCAAGATCAATGTCAGGAGCTCACATTGCCTGGTAACAAATTCAAAAGTAGGCACCTGGGGAGTGATTGGTCCGTATCTCCCTGAGAACACACTCCCGCGTGGACTTCGTGTGAAGGCCAAGACTATAACAGGGATCAAAAAGGACCTATCCTCCATGAACTTACCTAATTCTATCAATTACTATTAGCCAGGATGGGCAGGGATGCACACCCATGCTCTGAAGTGTCTCTAGACTCTGTTTTCCAGAAGCTGGGAATGGGCAACGGGATGGATCACTGGATGATTACCTGTTCCGTTCATTCCCTCTGGGACACCTGGCACTGGCCACAGTCAGACGACAGGATACCGTTGGCTAGATCGACTATTGGTCTGACCCAGTCTGGCCGTTCTTATGTACATCTGCTCCCTAACATGTTGTTTTGAAACACACCTTCCTATAATATTGCCAAGGACCAGTAGCAATGTTAATGAAATACTTCAGTGAGGACGGTACAGTAGAGGGGGAAAGAGGATTGTACAATCACCAGGGAGGTTAGCATTGTTTGCTGTAGTGAAACTGCTGGCTTTTTTCACCTCCCCTCCATGGTCCCTTCCAAACCATGCACAAGAGTGTTCAAACTAGCCAAAAATGTCAGATAGGGGTTTGCTGCAAAAGTGCCTCCTACTCAGACACTGCCCCGACCCCAGATGACTCTCTCCACTCAGTAAGACTCACCACTGCTCCTTCGTCACAGCTGCTGCCTCCCACAAGCATTCCATCGGGACCAGTGGAACAGCAGGTCGTACGGGTCTAGCCACGGATCCATAGGAAGAACCCAGCTACTGGTAACGTTGGCAGCTGCTAAGTGGTAAAATGACTGCTGCCTCTATCCTTTGCCAGAGATTTATCAATGATACATTCAACTCAGCTGACCATTCTGGTCAGGAGACAGATGAATGAATCCACCCTGGGTGTCTATTTTGGTATAACCCTCCCCCACTCCTAACCACCCACCCCCATTCCCCAGGAGGGTCAGGCTCCCATCAAGCCACCAGAAGTGACCCAAAAATTTACCAAGTTGAGATATTTGCCCCTTGCGCCCAAAGTTCTGTTTTAGTTTCCACTCCCACTGCCCCCGCTCTGGGCTCCGGCTGGTCAGTTGCTGATGGACCCCAAGTGTTTAAAGGACCAAGACGCTCATTTTTTCCTAGCAACACCATTTCCAGGTGGGGTTTGCAGCAGGAGGCACGATCCAAGATAGCAAACAGACATCGTTTTAAAGAAGCACCATTAACCAAAGGGTTTATAAAGAGATTCCTTTGTATTGGAGATCAGTCAAGTGAGTCCAGGGCAGTAGCCTGAGCCCGTGCAACCACTGGTGTCTCATAGTTCAGCAAACATCTGCCTCTCCCATGCCCCAAGCAGTAAAAAAATGAAAAAAACAAAACAAAAAAAACCTTCATCTGAAACGGGAGTGGGGAATAATAAAAGGGGGGGGAAATCAATAAGCGCCCCCGAGAGAAGCAGCAGGATGTGGCCACGCCAGGGGTCAGAGAGCACTTCTGCTTTCTCCGCCAGCGGGCAGCGTGGCCAAGATTGCACCGGGGACACACACACAATGTGCATTTGGAAGCGGCCTGCTTGTGTGCTGGCCACACGTTCCTCCGGCCCTGCCTTCGGAAGTTCATCCCGGATCCATGTCTCTCGAGGAGATTTCTGCAACTCCTCCCTCCTGCTCCCATAACACGCCATTCTCCTCCCAGGCGCTCTGAGCCGACGGCACCCTCAGTAGTAATCGTCCTTCTTGCTCTCAGCTCCTGGGACGCCCCCACGGTCCTTGTGCTCCTGCACTAGCTCCAGGTCGTCGTTATCGTCCACCTCCCCTCCATGATCCTCCTATTTGCAGGAAGAAAGGAGAGGCGGGGAAATCAACACTGAATAGAAGCAAGAGCCCAGCCCAGTCAGACAAGTGGTCGCCAGCATTCATGGTTTCGCCACCAGTTAACGTGGGCTGGGATCCAGGAGATCTGGGTTTGATTCCTAACCCTGCCTTCCCTGGTGACCTTGGGCAAGTCACTGAAAGTCTCACCCCCACCTGTTAAATGAGGATGACCATCCTTCCTCCCTCTCACCCTGTGTCTTGCCTCATCGGTTTAGATGTCAGCTCTCTGGGGCAAGGACCATCTCTTAGGCCTAGGTTACACTAGAAAACTAGGTTGGTTTAACTATATTGGTCAGGGGTGTGAAAAATCTACCCCCCTGAGTGGCATTGTTAAGCCAACCTAAGTCCCCGTGTAGACAGGGCTATTGCCTCGCGGGGAGGTGGATTTCCTACTCCCATGGGAGAAACCCTCCCAGCGTAGGTAGGGTCCATGCTGAAGCACTGTACAGCTGCAGCGTTTTAAGTGGAGGCAAGCCCTTACTGTGCGTTGCACGGTGCCAAGCTCACCGGGAGGCCGGTCCCAGGGGACAATACTTTGGACTCTGGGGAGTGCCAGGGGTGCTAACTGTAATTCAACCCAGGATTTAACTGCGTGAACCCTGCAGGTGCGAACTTACCAAAGTCCTCTTATTTTTCAAGGACTACTTGAGTATGATCTCAGTTCCTACAGACAGTGCATACAAGAACATATACTTGGGATTCAGGGAAAGGGTGGGAGGGGATAGTGTGATTTACAGTTAATTGGCCAATTAACACCCTGACCTTCCCTGGGTTCTGATGCACTTAGTTGGCATCTTTAGGCATGGATACCCAACCACCTACAGCTTGCAAGCAAATGGGGGTAGCTGTAAGTGGTACCTGGCCTGTGCCGAACTACTCAGAGATCGGTGCTCAAGATTCAGCACAAACAAAACATACCAGGGCCTCATACTGCTCTGGAGCTCAGCAACCTTCGGGCTGGCCCCAGCTCCCCAGGGGGAGCCTCTCCTGGCAGCCAAGGGCCCTGAGCGCCAGCTGTATTAGAGCCGTTGGCCTGAGAGCAGCACTCTCTCCCCTGCAGGGTGCTTACATGCAGCCGTGCAACTGCTCATTACACTTGTGGGCCCGGACTGGTACTGAACAGGAAGCAGGCTAGGGAGAGACAGGCACAGCTTGGGCCCATCTGAACAAGACGCCAAATCTGGCACTGACGTAGCACTTAAAAGCCTTGTGCTGAAGCCTGAGGCGCTTTGCTTCCTGCGCCATGGACAGCCTCCCACCCCACCACCAGCAGCACACACACAGGACAAGCAAGATGGGCTTTCTCCCCCCGGAAGGCTTCTGACCAGCAGGGACACTTTGGGGCACAGAAAGGGGAGGGGGCTCCAAGGTAGATTTTTTATTACCAATGACGCTCGCCAGCAGCCTGGTCTCTCTCTCCTCGTCGGTTTCTAGGAGACAGGCTGCTGCGGGCTCGGCTGTCGCCTGCTTCCTACCCCCTTCTAGCTTCACTGAATCAGCCAGGCCTAGAGCTGTGCTCTCTGACCCAGGTTCTAACAAGCACATCTAGCCGTTAAAATAGCAGAAGAGTCAAAAAGTGCTTCCAGGCCTCTCTCAAATCTCAGATCCCTGCCCGCACGGGCCGGACAGCACGGGGCCACTTGAATCGGGTACAAAGCACGGCTCAGGCTTTGGAAAGATTCCACTCCAGATCTGCTGCCTAGAGGCTATTGGGACTGATTTCCTAGAAACACATTAGCTCAGGGGTTTGCAAACCTCTGTTTGGGGCCAACGTCTAAACAGAGATTGTCTTGGGGACTCTTCCCCTCCCATTTCCTGACCCCACCCCACCCCCACGGTCTCCCATCTGCCATCACATAACATCCCTGTGACAACTACAGCACTTAACATGGAAAAACACCACTCGGCTGTACTTTAGCACACTGTAATGCAATTCAGTGGCTGGAATCAAAGAAAAGGAGCCAGCATCATGAGGTCTCCAACCACCACCAGCTCCATGCGGTTTAGGAAACGCCACTTTAGAGTGAATGCCAGGGCTCCATCCCCACCGAACACGGAGCTGGCGCGCCATTGCAGAGCTGCCCTGCATGGTACTACAGGAAACCTCCAGTGCAGAATACAGAGATTGCGAGGGCTAGATCTCGCTACCAAGGGAGGAAGTCCCTGACGATGGTGAATGAATAGCCAGATTTTTAAGAGGTGGGTGGGGGGCAGGAGGAGTCCCATGAGGAACCCAAATGACCCCAAGAGAGAGGCAGGGTATGTCACACCCCGCGTTTCGTCATGCCCCTTCCTTTGCCAGCAACCACCCTTCCCGCAGGGAGGAACAGCAAAACTCATGTCCTATATTGCGCAGGACTGCTGCCTTCCTCCCTTGAAACTTCAGGCTGAGCCCACAGATTTATCACCAGTCAATCAATCAAACAAATGCCACACATGTGATCTCTGATACAGAGGGAAATGGCTTAACACCCCCAGAGACAGCCTCCTCTCACGTCACACTGTCATTTGACATTAGGAAATAATGCCCCTCCTGAGCCAAGGAAGCCCACCCCTGCATCTGGCAAGAGGGGCCTAGTGTTCGGAGCACTGGACTGGGAATCAGCAGATCTGAGTTCTATTCCTGGCTCGGCCCCTGGCCTGCTGGGTGACAGGTTGCCTCTCCGTGCCTCAGTTTCCCCATCTGTAAAATGGGAATAATGATACCTCACTTGTAAAGTGCTTTGAGATTTATGGATGAAAAGAGCTCGACATTAACAACTATTTACTCTTCTTACGTGCCAGGAGAGAACATTCAATGGGCTCAGTGGAGATGGTGGGCTGAGGGCTCCCCTCTGACCCAGTGTCAGGGCCAGAGTACTGGAGCTACAGCTAAGGGCTGATCTTGCAGTATGCATGGTGTTACGCACAAGCCGTCCCAAGCTTTTACAAGGTTTGTGGTGGGGATCTGGCTGTCGACTGCAAGCCCCAAAGAGCTGTTTATTCAGCTTGCGCTTCAGGCCATCCCTGGGCAAGCTCTTAAGTAAAAACAGGGAAGCAAGTGGACCCCCATCAGCCAAAGGGCAGTGGTAAAAGAGAGGCAGGAGATGGGGGGTCAGAATGCGGCACTGGAACAGATAGCTAACTGAAGCTTCCCCTAGCCAGAGACAGGGCAGGAAGGGGACACTGCATTGGTTTAGCTGGCACTAAGGAGAACAGCACTGCCAACCCTAAATGATCAAAAACCATCAGGTGGGGCCCCAAAATCATGAGACTGGCTTAAAAAAACATGAGATTAAAAATACATAAAAGTGTGAGGTCTTTTTCTTTGCCTTTGGAGCATTTAGGGTTCACATTTTCCAGCTGCTCTCCTCTTATCATGGTTATTTACTCCATGACAGAGGTCGCACTGCACAGCTGGGGTCAACGCTCCTCCATGTGCCACCCTCAAACCCAGCCAAGACTGGCAGATCGTGGGGGCCTGCTCCAGTATCCACTGAAGGCAAGGGCGTTATTTCACGGGGATCAGCCGGCCCGATCTGCGGACAGCTCAGCACCCACAGCTCCCACTGAGGTTCAGGGGGGCCTCTGAAAATCTGGCCCCTTTCTGGCATTGCAGAAGGTCATTCATTTCCATAAATGTGAGCCAGGAAACCTCAGAATCCCCACCGGCAAGGACACATCCAGCTTCCACAGATGGCTGCTTCTCAGGCACAGCATGGAGCAGGTGAGGAGAGCTGGGCATTATCTAGAAATTGCTCATTAACCCCCATGCAAGTCTTCCTCCTCCCCCGCCTCGCATTTGCACCTCAGAATGAGAGATTCCTCTTTTCATGGTTTTGAAGTGGAAATTACATTTAAATGTTACAAATCAGATGGCAGTAAAAATTCAAGAGGACTCCACAGGAGGCAACAAAGGGCATCTCCCTGTCTCTTCGCAATCAAAGACCTCAGGGAGGCTGTGTCCACGGCAAAATTAGCTTGCCAGGGTGCTGCGATTTAGATACTGAATTCATTTTGGGGGACAAAAACTTAGATCTTGATAAAACAGCTCCCCATACACATACATACACAACTCCCCATTTAAATGGAAAATCATTCCCGCAATCGTTTCTCTTTTGAAGTTAAATGGAAATGGTTCAATTGAAAGCTCTGCCAGCATGGCTGCAATGATCAGGTTATTCTAGTGCCTAGCGCCAGGCAGCGAAAGTGACTCAACATGGCTACAATCAGAAATGAAACTGACATGGCTGCGGTCACTGCCTAAACCAGGGGTTCTCAAACTGGGGGTCGAGACCCTTCAAGGGGTCGCGAGGTTATTGCAAGGGGGGTCGTGAGCTGCCAGCCTCCACCCCAAACCCCGCTTCACCTCCAGCATTTATAATCGTATTAAATATAGAAAAAAGTGTTTTTAATTTATAAGGGGGAGGGGGGTGTCACACACAGACTTGCTATGTGAAAGGGGTCACCAGTACAAAAATTTGAGAACTGGCCTAAGCTAAGGGCAGGGCAAATAAACCACCAAAAATAAAACTCGCCTGTAGTGTTGACAATTTCTGACAATGCCCCAGCTCCCGGAGTCCTGTGATTAGGTGTGAACCTCAGCTTTAATTTAAAAAAAAAAAAAAAAAAGTTTCTAGCCCTCCTGGCTGTGGAGAAAATTTTGAGAATGTGACCCCTTAAAAGGTCCATAACCAGAAGATAAATATTATATATTATTAGTATTACCACAGGAAGAACCACCAAAAACTGTTATTTTAAAAAGCCTCTGGCATGAAAATAATCTCTCATTGTTCTATTCCTGGCTCTGAGATGATGTAGCCCAGTGATACAGGTGATAGAAACCAGCCAGCATTTAAATTGGGGAGGGGGGGGCATGGGGAAGAGGGGCAGCAAAGGGTCGCAGACCTGGCAAAAAACAATTTACATTGAGCTTGGTTGCCGAAGGGTGAACTTTAAGCATGGTCTTACCAAATCTGCTTCTTCCAGATGATGACAGACATCACCACTACCACTACATTTTTCAGACCACGTTAAGCCCTGACAACGCACCATAAAACCCTTGGCCTAAATTGTCCAGAAATGAGTCGAGACTGAGACTGCCTAACTTCAGACACCTTAAAGGGTCCCAATTTTCATAGGGCGGGTACTCAGCACAGGCTGAAAATCAGGCCCCCTCTTTTACAGCTGTCTCAAGTTGGGCACCCGAGATCACACGTCACTTTTGAAAACGCAGGCAAGTAAGGAAGAGAGGCTACCCCGGTTGTAGGATGGTTCTCTCAGAAATCTGCAGCTTTGTTTTGTTCACACAAGTTAACTATGTGCTTACGCCCCATTGACTTGTGTACATACTTGTGTGTTTTGCTGAATCAGGGCCTTCATGGCCCGAGGCGTGAAATCCAATCACCCACCTATCTCAGCTTGCATAGCAACAAGCCATTTTTAACCACTGATCATGCATTTATATCAGTGATGTAGCAGCTTTCCCTTCCGTGTCAGCATCCCCAGAAGGCGCCTTGGGATTCCTGGCTCTGGCTGCGGCAGAGTTAACAAGAAGTAGCTGAAGATAGGTAATCACTCTGCTTTGAAAGCAGGCAGAAGCCCAGAGGGGACGGTTTCTGTTGGAGGCACTTATCTCTCGTCCATTATTAATAACTGGAATAAACAGACGCCACAGCAAAATGCAACCGGCAGAGACGCACCGAGGAGATAGGGGTGGGGGGGGTTCCAACTCTGCTCCCCAAATTAGACAATTTAAACCAAAAGCGGCGTCTCGGCCGTGCTCAGTGACCTGCTAGGGGGCAGGATTCAGCTCGCTGTGGAGATCAAACTACCAGGGAAAGAAGGGAGGTGACAAGGGCCGATCTTGAGATTTCGATGAACTCTCTCCTCTCGCCCCCACCTAATTGTTGCAGCCAGAGCTTTTGGACCCCACTCCTGCATGGGGCTCCGTGCCGGCAGGTGCAGAGCTCTTAGCAGGATCGGGGCTTGGTTTGATCAGGGTGGGGGACGGAAGGGAAGCCCCTGAACAGCATGAGGGTGCTTTGCAATGGCTTGTGTACGTCATTACTGACGTGGGGGGAGGGGATGAGGGTTAACAACATTAAAAGCCTTGTTCATCCTATTCATCATCCAGGGCCTGATTTGCACAGGTGCTGAGCACCAGCGAGTCTAACTGAAGAGAAGGGATAGCTTGGGAGGTACTGAACACCATTGAAAATAAGGCCCTGTGTGCGCGCATGACGCTACTACCCGAGGGCCCCCACTGGGATCGGGGCCCATTCTGTTAGGTGCGGCACAACCGCATCGGAAAATAATGCCACCTAGCTCCTCTACAGCGCTTTCCATCGTATCATTATGCTCATTTTATACATGGGGAAACTGAGGCACAGAGCAGGGGGGGACTTTCCCAAGGAATAGAACGCAGCTGTCCTGAATCTCAGTCCAGTGCTCCGACCATTACACCGCAGAACGGCACAGTCTCTGTCCCGAAGAGCCTGACCCCTATTCCTAGGGCGTTGGGAGCTTTCCCCTAACAGCTGTCCCAACGCACAGGTCTGCCCAACCTCTGCACCAGGCTCAGCTCCTGGTCTCAAACACACCCGCAGCCGCACGACCGCACAGGAAAAGAAGAGGAACCTCAGTGTCGTACAATTTCTTGCTCCTGATCTTCTTGGTAGTCATCCATTGGCTCTTCCCTGGCTTTGTCTGGCCCAGCGGCACCCTGGAAACACAGGAGGGCAGACATTGGTAGGTCAGCCTGCTTTAAAGCTCCCAGAAGCACACACACACCCCCAACCCCAATCCTGACAGAGCAGCAAAGCAGCTTTGGAGACCCAGACTTTCATGTATTAGAGCCCCAGGTCTGGAGGCTGCTGAATCAAGACCCTGGAACATCAGAGGTGACCCCATCTCTGTTGGGTGCTTGTCCCCAATCAACGCTTCTGTCCCCTTTATCCTGCAGGCAGCCAGGGGGGGCGGATGGAGGCAGCCAAGTCATTTCCCAGCAGCCACACGCCTTCGCGTTGGCCTGTGCATGGGAGCGCTCTCACGGTAGGGCTCAGCGCTGTGTCAGAGCTCTGCACAGAGCCCGGGTGTGCAAGCGGCCACCCTGGGTTGAACAGTCCCTACAGACAGTGGGGAAGCATCTGTTAGAGAGAGAGAGAGAGAACAAGCTAGTTGGCAGAGCTGGGCAGCAACCGTACGGCTGAGCTAGCATCCAAGCGCCAGGGGAGAGCTGTGCTGGGCTCTAGGAGACAGCAGGGAGAACGGTGTCCCCGCTCCTCCACCCCACTGCAGCTGCCCAAGTCACATTAGCAAAGCACAGCCGAGCGCAGACCTTCCAGCCAGGAGCCAGCAGCGAAGACCATTCCTTCTATTTGCTGCCCATTCAAATGAGAGATGGCAGTCTGAGAAAACGAATCGCAATTCAGCCTTCCTAGTGCACGGAGGGCTGCAGAGCGCCCCCGCGCCCGGGGAAGCCGCCGGGCTGAGCAGCTCGCACCGAGAACGTCTCCGGACAGGAGACAGGAGCGCAAGGGGGAGTCATGATCGAGCACTCTCTCCACCCACATGCAGGGCCACAGCCTCAGCTGGGGTCAATCAATGCAGCTTCTCCGACTCCAGGTAAGCGCCGGTGATTCGCACCAGCTGAGGATCTGGCCCATGGCTGCTGCCTGTTTGCAGGCTAGCAGGGAAGGAGCCCGGGCTGCTGCAGGGCACCATGGCCGAGCCTGTTAAAACAGGGCGTGGCCATGAGAGAAAGGGTCCGTGGAGGGGGAAAGTCACTGGATCATTCTCCTCTCAATAGCAATGGCTGAGGGCTCTCTGCTCACTGGGGAATATTCATATTCCCTGGAGTCATGGGTTCAAATCCTGGCTGAATCAGTTCAGCTGTTCATCATTCAGAGAGGCTGGGAGCTAAGACACTCAGGTTCTAGGCCCAGCTCCTCCAGTGAGTCAGAGATCGGCACTAGTGGCACTGGCTCAGGAGAGCACCAGGACTGGTATCGGGCAGGGGCAGATTGCGCGGCTTCTGCCCCGCCTGAGCCTGACTCAACCCACCGCAGCCTGCCCAGCCGCAGCGTTAGAGACGAACAGAGCTGGATCTGAGGGGGATTTTCTTGGAGCCTCTTGCTGGCGAGCATGAAATATTAATGCTTTCGATAATTTACACCTCCCGGAGAGAAGGACTCAGACATGCTGATACAGCTTCTGATTAACAGACCTTCACTCAGGGCAACGATTCAGCACCTCCTCATTCACCCGACGGGCTGAGCTGGGAGCAGGCCATCTGCTCCTGCCCACAGCTGCACCGACACATGCCGCCCTCCGGACCCCACCAATGGGACCCAAACTGACTACCCTTCCTAATACCCTCCCCATTGGGCCCACCAGGGAGCGAATTACAGCCTAAGGGAGCAGTGCTCCAACACCAAACCCAGCTGACCGCCCCGGTCAGCAAAGCAAGCCGGCGGAACAGAAGCCAGGCATTGTGCTAAGGTTTGTAGCGTTCACATGGTGGGAAAGAGCAGGCTGAGCAGGGAGATCCAGTAAGAGAGAGAAAGGAAAGCAAACAAGAAAGGTAAGGGGGAAAAACAACAGACGGGGAGTGTTCTGTCCTCTGGTTAGTTCTGTCCTCCATAGGGCTGTTGACTTTATCCTTTCCTGTCAGCCATCTGATTGCCAATGCTCTATTTATACCTTGTGCTTATGCAGCTCTTGATGCTGCAATATAGATTGTAACAAACTCGTAATGACAGCCATTCAGAACCTAACAGCAACAGCAGGGATAGAACTTTCTCAAAAGCACAGGCTTCTCCCACTTGGACTACAGGAGAATCACTGCTTCCTATGAGCAATATAGGACTTCTGACACACAGTTGTGCAGTTCTGATTCCATCCAGTAGTTCATTAGAAAGAAACTGACCAAGCTGATTAAGGAGTTTAAATTTTCCTCCCAAAGGAGTGCTAAGTTTGCACAAGTTCTCACTGCCAGCGCCCTCAGGTCTTTCCTCCTAAGGTACCTGCACTCTGTCCAAACAGCGTGAACAGCTCAGCCTAGCCTTATGCAAAGACAAATAGTTAAGGTACAAATTCTTTTCCCACTAAGGAGCTGGAGGGTTTTATTCAGCAGATGCAATCCTGCAGTGGTGGGCTCTTTGCTTCAATGTCTATTCCATTGGTCTGGAGTGTTTTTAGACTTGCTACCAATCATCGGTTTAGAGCCTGACAGATAAAATGCTGCTTTTAAAAACAAGTGACACAGAGAACGCTCGGCAGCCTGTCAAAACAAGCTAATATTTCCCTGCTGCAGAGTCTCACTCCAAACAGCAAGAAGTGCTTTACAAAATGAATGGCTTCCTTCTGCAAGCGAGCATCTCCTTGGAGGAGACAAGATTCTCCCTCGCACAGCATAACTGCCACCAGTCCACCACGGACGCGGCCACATCACAGAAACATGGAAATCGCCAAACTAGACCAAGCAAGGTCCATCTAGTCTAGTGTCCTGTCTCCAACCATGGCTACAATCAGGTGCTTCCCAGGAAGGCTCGAGAATCCTGAAGTAGGCAGAGAGGGGATAATCGGCCCCCCACTTTAGATCTCACCCTGGATTCTAATCGTGCAAAGCTGGCTTAAGCCCCAAAGTAAAGGATCAAATTTCTCCAAAATTTTGATTGTCCTTAAGTGTGATAAGCCAAGATATTCTGACTATCAGTTCCCCTTTGTGGGTCTAGTTAAATTCGCGGCCTTAGCTTCCTGGGATTAAACCGCGGCGCTCATTGCCCCAGGGTCTGTGAAAAAGGATTTCCTTTGATCGGGTTTGAATGTTTCACCTTTTAATTTCATTGAATGTTTCCTGGCTCTTGTGTTGTGAGACCGAGGGGAAAGAAGTTTCCGAGGTACCTTCTCTAGACCCCGCATCATCTCAGAAGGAGGGTGTATCCAGAGCCGCGGGGCCCGTAAGACTCTAACACTATAGACATGGCATGGGATATGCCAGGATTCCCAGATTTCAGCCCTCCTGTGCTTACACCTATTGCCAATGGTGGCAAGTGGCCACAGTTGGAATAAAGTCCACCTTACAACCAGATTTCTGCCTTCCCTTCGCCCCCTGAAGAATTACGGTCTTGGGAGGCCCAGCGCCCAAAGTGGCACCGGAACGGGCTGAAGAGCAAGTGGGACATGTTACGCAATAGCTGGGCAGAGAACAGGTGCTGTGGGGTGCTGCCATGCCAGCCTCAGAGCAGGTGGAAGAGGGAGAAAGGAGGGCAGCTTGCCAGTAGCTCCTGGAAGCCAAAAGAAAATTGGTCATGACCCAGCTGGAACTCCATAGCCACAAGCTGCCCAGAATCAGGAGCAGGAGATGATGGGGGAAGGGTTCTCTCACTGCCAGCCCATCACAATATAGCATTGGGGCTTAGGGGTGAAAATTCTCTTGGGAGGCATGCATCCTCTTCCTCCTCTCACTTGCAGGGCCAAGAACCCTCTTCCCCCCCCCCCCGACACCCCTCCCTGCAGAAATGGCTTCCCCATCACATTACATTACCTTCAGCGGCTTCTTTGTCTCCTCTTTCCCTAGCACGCTGGGGTCCTTGTATTTGTCTGATTGGACCACCTTCTCCTCAAAATCCGGCCTCTCCAGCTCGGCCTCCTCAAACTCATCTTCCCCTTGGTTATTGGGGTCCTGAGCAGGGTCTGCAGCATCATCAGGCATCTGGGTGAGAGAAACCTCTTGTGAGCACCCAGCACCCCCACACCCGGTGGCCAATACGAGCTGGCTTTCTCCAGCGCTTCAGCTCAGGCCAATGAGTGGGAGAAGCTACAGCTGGGGACACCTGCTTCCAGGAAGGAGGGCTTCCCACCTCACTGCAGCAGTCCTCCTCAGGCTGGATCTCAGGGGTTTAGCCAGATCAGAGTCTCCTCAGATGAGGCTGTAAGAAGTTATGGCTAGAGGAGGTGATGGGGCCTAGCAAGAACAGGCAATCTGCCCCCCTCACCTCACTTTCTGCCCCTGCTGAAATCCCAGGCATTGTGTGTGTCTATCCTGTGGGTCTCTCCATCGGTCCAGCTACGTTGGTAAATGAAGAAACACTCAGCAGAAGTTGAGTCTTAATGAAGTTCTTAGGAAGTCATTGCCTGGAATCTTTAGCAACCCAAGGAAGGAAACCACCTCACATCGGAAAGTTGTTTCATTGCCTGTGAGGCAAACCAACTCATTGGCAATAGGTGCGATGACCTTAAATCAGTCCCCCGGAAAGGAGGAAGCTGTACTCTGTTTATCAAACCAACCTCAGAAGAAAAAGCTGCCTTTAGCCAAAACAAATCTGCATTTTGACACAACGCTCTACGCCTTGTTATGTGCGTGCTGCTTTCAGATCTAAAGCTCCGGGAACCATAAACCAGGATGGTTTCCTTGGCACAGATGTTCTCAGGAGATACATCGAACCCTGAGCTCCAGCAGAGAGGGGCAGACACACAGCTCCAGGCAGTGGGAGAGGCAAGACTTCTGCCTTGTAGCAGATCAGCTAGAAACATACCCTGTCACTGAAATAAAAGAACGGACCGGCAGGGAGAGGAGGCACCATCATCTCTTGTGCTTAATATCTGCCATGGTTTTGTTTTGTTATTCTCCTCTGTAGGTCACCTGGGAAGAGTTTGTTTCCTCTAGTGCAGCTGGATCAGTGTTGACTCCTATCTTTGGGGGAGGGGGAAGAATTACCAGCTGGCATCCTCAATGAAAACATCGAGGTCCTCCCCTCTAGGGAGGGCAGAGAAAGGCGAAAGCCTGTGCATGAGTCAAGGTCATGGATAAAGGTGTGATGTCTCAAGGACCTGCAGGCACCATGGTGGGCAAAAGAAAGTCAAACAGGCTGGAGGGTCCAAGGCCCTGCCAGTGTCATGGAGGAACACTCTAGAAATGCGTAGGGAAAGATCACTTCTGTCTGAAGTTACTGCTACTCTTAGGGGAGCCTGGGCTCTCTCCTTTAGCCTCTCCAAGCTAAGCGAAGGGAGATAAATGGAGCTGAAGCTCTCCCGATGGACATCGATTACCGAACGAATCTCACTTGGCACTTCCATAGCGTATCTCACCTTCAGAGCACTTTACAAACCACCAGTGAATTAGCCAAGCTAGCCCGACCAGCGTCATAAACACCAGTCAGTGCATTGCCTCTCCCGGAGCTTGTCAGAGAAAAGGATGTGCCAGTACATTTTTCCCCCTGTGATCTGATCAGCTTTACAGATAGTTGAAACAACCTCCTTCCGCTAGGGCAGCGGTTCTCGGCCCTTTTCCATACAACAAACAGCACCCGCTCCTCGGGATCCCTCCCCGCACTCACGCAGCAGAGATCTAACTGGGACCTATTTAGTCATATGGGAAAGGCAGGGTGCTCAGGGCCCCCTGAAACAGCAGGTTTGTGGCCCCCAAGGTGACAGATTCTGCAACTGCTTATATACAAGATGTCATCAAACAGCAAATAAATATTCCCCCCTCCCCTCAGACGCACACATGCTCTGTTTGACCAGCTCTGCTCTGCCAAACACCCATCAGAGAGAGGTAATTTTGCCTGTTTTTAGGGTAGGAAAAACGGAGGCATAGAAGTGACTTGTCTGATGAGAACTCGTGGGAGGGATTGGGATTAGAACTCCCAGCGCTCACTCTGTGCTGACCATACCTCCCGTTAGCACTCGCATGGATGCTAGGAAAACGCCCATGATTCTTCATTAAAACAACACCTTCTTGGGGGTGGGGGTGAGAAAGATCTGGGAATGAGGTGCTACATGGGCTGCATGGAAAGTTTCTGCTTGAATGGAAGAGTTTGGTGTCCAAATCAGATTCAAGTGATGACATCATGGCGACTTCTCTTACCATTGGCTCCTGGACCACCGCCTCTTTTTGCGTGTGCATATTCTCTTCTCTTTCGATCATCCCAGCATCTGCAAGAAAAATGAAATGAGTCAATCCGGCCGACCAAAAGGCTCATCCAGGGAGCAGCAAAACCCACAGGGCACTGGCAATGTGACCGTTTGGCCCTGTGCGCCATGGAAAGTTCTCTCTCTCCTAGAGAAAGAGAGTGAACTGATCACTCGTGCCTACCTGGGAAAGACACTGCATTGGGCTGTGATGAAGCATCCCTGGAACCAGAGAGCAGGTTGGTTACCACACCCGGGAACAGGTATAGAGTGGAAGCTGATGCATTGATGTCTGCCTGTCTCTGCAGACAGGCAGACACAATAGCGTGGAGGGGTGTGAACTGCTCCCCATTCATTGCAACGGGTTAATCCTGGTGCCTAACGATAGTATGTTAAAATGTCAACATTGACTGTTTCATCAACGACCACTTTAGTAGGCATCTAAATAATAATAGTAGTGCTTATTTGCCACGGCTGGACGCAAGGACAGCGCTCAGGTAGCAAGTTGCGGTCAAGGGCAGCAGGGAAAGGAGCAATTCAGTCCCCTGCCTCCAAGATCTGAAGTCACCTTTGCCCCAGCTTAGCAGAGGCACTTCCACTGCCTCCTCGGTGCCAAAATCCAAAACCACCTCCCGCATATTCGTGGGTGCCAGAAACCCCCTCTACCCAGCTGCCAAAACCTTGCCTGGCATCTATGGTGCGGGTACGTGCTGGCGACACAAAAACCTCTGGGTCTGTTGACCACTGACGACGTGGGGAAGAGTAGAAAAGACATTTAACACCACAACAAAATGTACACTCCCAGAAACACTGCACAGACGGGCGACACTGGGGGGATGGGTACATCATTTCAGGGTCCAAATCTTGGCATCAGTCTTGTGCGCTGCGTAGGACAGCGGCCTTGACTCACTGTTCTTCATGTCAAGTTTGCAAGAAAAGCGACTCCACGTAACAGTAACAGCTTTTGTGGGCAAGGGATTTGTAAGGCCGCCTTTTTGGAGGCTTAACGATCCTTGATGTGCCAATTACACCCATCTACTTCCTGTTAGGTGGCAAGGTAGCTGGAGTCAGACCACAGGGCGATTGGCTTACTGAGCCACCGGATGCTCAGTCACTCATCTGTACGTTCAGGAATCCGTCTCTCTCTCTGTCCCTTAGGCTACTGCAGAGGCTGGGTGGTATCCATGGAAACAACCCAGTTGCGCAGCCAGTCAGAGAATCGCTCCTGGCCCCGCTGTACCATGGTGGGTTACAGGTCGGTGCCACTTCGCCCTTTGTCGGCGTGTGGCGGTTGAAAATGAAAGGCCGGTGCGCCACGTGGCAAGGGGGAGAAGAAAGGGGAACTACACAGAGCATCCGTTAGGGGGAAAGCAAGGAGGCTCATTATGTTTATTTCTCCCGTCGTACATTTTGGACCCTGCACAGCCCTTTGTTTTGACCAGAGGGAGGCCCAAACCCCCCCAGATCTGGATCCGAGTAGGTCCATCTACAGCATCTGGTTGCGCTGGCTCCAATGGTCATGCTGACCACTGCAGCGGCAAGCAGAGCAGGTTGATATGAGCCTCCAGCATCAGGCTGCCCCGTTCGGCCTGCTGTGTAATCTACAGGGCAAGTATGTCCCAAGAGACGGATGCAGCAACAATCTGTAGCGCTCTGAGGGAACGCGAGGCGCCACACCCACTCTTTCACCCCCAAACTGGCAGGAGCTGGGAGAACCGAGGAGGCAACGCACGTGTCCCCCGAGGGTGCACAAAGCACAAAGGAGGGGCAGCCCATAGGGCTCCGGACAGTTAGAAGCAGGGTTTATGAGCTGTGAAGAACATCCCAATGAGAATCCTGGCGACCACAAGATGGCAGACTCGGGGGTGTAAAGCAGGGCGTGCTGGAAGGAACCACGGGGTGCTAACAGAATAATGAGATGAGTTTCCAGGATGGTTCCCCCACTCAGAAATGACCCCCCCCCCCATTAAACAGCTTCATTCGCTGTAGTCTCTAATCCTTGGGTGCGGAGATGGTTCTCCCTCCAGGCTCATGGTCCAAGTCTGGCTGCATTAGACCCAGTGTCTTTGAGGCCTGGATGCTCTTTTAAATAGCAAAAACAAGCAACAGAAAAGAAGTCCTGCCTGAGACAAGACTCCGGGGGGGTGGGAGGGAGAGAAGAGAGCTGAGGACTAATCACCCATTTTGACAGTGCATCATTTATTATCCTTCTCCTAACAATCCTCGACAAGAACGGCCATAACGAAGGCCGGGGGCAGGGAGCTGGGGCGGTGTTTCTGTGCTGTCTGTCATCAGCATTAGCCAAGGTTTCCCTCTTGAAACATTAAGTAAGACCAAGAGGCAACAGGGCTCCCACTTAGATAATTTCATGGCCTGGGCCGTAAAGTAGTTCCCTAGGGCATTAATCCCAATTAAGACGTGGAGGCCAAGTCCTGCTGGTCCCAACATCCCCCCCATCCCCACCCCCGCAGAGCGAGCCTGTTTCCTTCAAAGAGGAGTTTGCTTTGAAGTGAGGCAATTAGTTTGATTCTTCTGAGGGAACTTGTTGATAGTAGGTCATTTAAAGATGAAATACCAGCTGGGTCCTTCTATGGGAAGGGACAAGGCATCTGGGCTTTGAAACAAGAACATGGCTTCTCCTCTCTTTCTCACGCAACCCACACACTTCTCTTTGTCCAGTTGACTGGACCCGATCAGCACGGGATCAGTTTAATATCTAACATGTCAAATATTTGAGAGGTTCTCCTGCAGTGGAAGGGCACTGACACAATGATCTAGACCTTTCCTCCCTATCTTTATTATGGCCTTATTATCGAAGGCTCTGTTAGTCATACCGACCTGCATCTCTACCCCTCACCACCACCACTATTCCTAATCCGAGCCCTTTCCTGAGCAGAGAATGAAAACTGCGCCAAAATCCACTGGCAAGAGTTCAGGCTGAGACCACCAAACTCATTTTCACTTGTGATCTAAGTCAGGATTTGAACCCAGATCCCCAGAGGCTGAGGACAGAATCCAGGAGCCCTGACTCCTAAACTTCCTGCCCCACCTACTAGCCAACTTGTCTAAGGAATATTTCATTCAGAATCCCAGTGACACTTAGATATAGGTCACTGACCAAAGGCAACAGAGACTTTGTTAGCTCAACTTGGTCTACTAACCCCATGCGGTTGCTTTGATCAAATATGTATTCTTACTGTAATTAACACGGTTATTAGCCTTTTAGACCCGAGCAGTTAATCAATATTTGAGATCTTGTGGATTGTTTCAGTTAGGGACAGAAATTGATGATGGAGTCAGGTATTTCTTTGATGCAATCCTGTTTATTTACAAAGAATGTACATAAAGTCCTGTTTCCCTGAACACACTAGGAATCAAAAAGCAGGGAGATAGTTTCTCTTTTCACAGTTCCAAGCCCTTTTCCAGCCAGCACTCTGCTCAAAAGCTCTCACTTTTGTTTTTTTCCCCTCAAGGTCACACATTTCTCTCGCTGTCTCTGTGGCTTCCTTGTTGCCTTCACTCTTTGAGGTGTTTCTGCTGCTTCTCTCCTGCACACAGATGCACGGCTACAATCAAATATATCCCTCATCCTTGCATTTGTTATAAGGTCCCCAGGAAACTCCTTGGACCACATGGCCCACCCACTGCCCAGGCTTGAAAGCAATCTAGTCCTTGGGAAGTCATCTTCTATTGTTTCCGCTATCACTAAACGAAGGGGAAATTCATTGTTCCCCCAGTTCCCCTGTTTGGAAGGCCGAAGCTGTCCAGCATGACAACAATGAGGTGGTACAATCGCCCAACCCTCAGCTTAACAGTATTTATACATTATGCCTGTGAAGTGAAGCAGAGATAAAGGCTCTTCCCTCGCAAACCTCAGCTGGTGAATTATTCATGAACCAGTTTCCTGGCCTGATGATAGGTTACACCGGGTCAAATGCTTCCCCCTTCTCCCCTTTTTAATGGCTTCCCTTGCAAATACATTATTAGATGGCTGAGCCAGTCCAGGGAGTCTGAATGCAGTTGGAGCAGCAGAGGGTACAATTCTAACATGTGCCAAATGGTTTGAGGGCTGGTCTCCCCCAGCTGCTCAGACTTTGAGTCTTCCAAGATGGTTGCAGTTGCTGCATTTGTCTGACTGACTAATGGAATTAGCTGGCCTTTGAAATGGCTTGCTCATCGCCCCCAAGGGATGCTGGGAAATTCATCACCATGATTAAGATTGGAATCCCTCTTCCAAACAAACAAACAAAAAAGAAATCACATGGGAGACTGAACTCAAGTCTTCCAAGAAACAATGGAAGGGGATTCTCCATCCCTCTCTTAGAGACGGGAAACAAAGTACCGCGACCTGTGTGCACATTGCTTTAGTACATATGATGCACATGGCCTGGAGAAAGGGGACAGGTCAAGGTTGGATGAAAGGGCCGCCCTAACTGCGATAACAAGATGATGCACTGCACTCCTCAGATGACAGAGGAGAATAAGGGCAACAGCCTCTTCTGTAAATTACTACAGGAGGTGGGTCCTTTCTCCTTCCATCCCTAGGAAAACAAATTCCTTAGTCATCCATAAGGGGACTGCAGATTTAACATCTTCCTCCTAAACACAGCAGCAGGGAGGATGTCAGGGGATTCCCAGAGCCAGGCTCCATTTCTGCACTTTGCAAGGCAGGGAGGAGAAGAGTTTTTAAAACTCCTAGCAATTGTACTTCATTCGCAATCAAACATACCTTGGTTTACCTGTGCTCTGAGCCGATCGGCGCTAACCCTAAGCAGGGCTGGGCTATGTCAGTATTTGAATGGGGGTCCTCCCAGGAACACTTGGGGAGTGCATGTATTAATGCTGGAGACACTGGGGGCTGCAAGCATTCTCCTGCAACGCTGAGAATCCAAACAGGACCGAGCTAGGGCATGAGGCAGAGGAAGGGACTAGAAACTAGGGTAAAAGTGACCAAGTTTGGATTATTTAAAATACATGATATCTCTTGACAAAAATTTCAAATTAAAATTTCTCTTGAAGTTTTTGAGAGACTTCCTTTGTTCAAAAGCCTCCCTCTTGGTAAGCATAGGTCATTACTGTACTTCACTGCGTTATGGAAACCATACCCATCTCGAGTTCCTCATCATCCGTCCCTTCCTTGTCTCCTTCCCGATTGGCTATCGGATGCTCTGCCCCTCTTTGTTGATTGGCCAGCAACAGATTGCCATTCTGCTCAGATCTGGTGTCAAAGTGAAGGTGCTTTGGGTAACCGTGCACTTGTTCCTCATCCATTCGGGCATTCACTTTGTTAACAATGTCTTGCCAGCTGCAGCAAAGTAAGAAACAAAAAACAGAATAAACCACACAGCTTGTTGGCATTTCATAATCTAAATGCAAGCAGGAAAAACAAACAAACAAAACAAAACAAAAAACAGAGAAACCCACCTCCCACACATTCAAAACTCCTGCCTAATTGTACATCTCAGGCAAAGGAGCCGATTGCATTAGTTATCGCTGCAAGCTACATGGAAAAGCTACAGAACAATTTATGTGCTACACAAATGCCAAATAAAATATGCTTTATAAATGCAATGTATTATTATTAGAACTGCTTTAATCTCTTATTCATGCACTGTGATAACTTATCCATATAGCAGTGGCAATATTTTCTAACTCCAAATTGATACATTTACATGCTTCCCACATATTAGAAGGCATAAATTTGCCTTTTTGGAAAAATACCAAACCAAAAGTCCTCTTTATGTCTCAACCTTTATTTAAAGTAATAATGCTGCTTGTACCACAGTCTTCTAGAATAATTAGTCCAAACTCTGAAGACTCATTATTGAGAACTGTAGAGTTTTGGAGGACGGGTGCAGAAAGCCTTTTTAAGAAAAGTAATGATACAGTAAAAGCTTTGTCATCCGGCATATTGGGGGAAAGGGGGGTGCCAGTTAGTCAAATATTCTGGTTCACTAAGAGTTATACTTACCAATGGAATACCAATTTTCTGGACTGAGGCAGAGAGATAGGGTGTGGGAAGGGGTACAGGCTCTGGGCTGGGGGTGCAGGCTCTGGGGTGGGACCAGAAATGAGGGGTTCAGGATGTGGGTGGGGGATCTGGGCGGGAGCAGGGGACTGGGTGTGGCTGGGGCTCTGGAGTGGAGCCAGGGATGAGGGGTTTGGGGTGCACAAGGGGGCTCCAGGCTAGGGCCGAGGGGTTCGGAGTGCAGGAGGGCGTTTGGGTGCAGGAGGGGGCTCAGGGCTGGGGCGCGGGAGGGGGTTTAGGCGTGGGCTCTGGGAGAGAGTTTGGGTGCAGGAAGGGGCTCTGGCCTGGGGGTTGGGGTGCAGGAGGGGTTTCAGGGTGCCGGATCCTGGCGGCACTTACCTTGGGCGGCTCCCCGCAAGCTGTGACATGTCCCCGCTGCTCCCAGGCGGAGGCGCGGCTAGGCAGCTCTTTGCGCTGCCTCCACCTGCAGGAACCGCCCCCACAGCTCCCAGCCAATGGGAGCTGTGGAGCCAGCGCTTGGGGTGGGAGCAGCGCACGGAGCCCCCCCATAGCCGCTCCTCCGCTTAGGAGCAGCAGGGACATGTCGCCGCTCCCAGGGAGCCAGGTAGGGAGCCTGCTGGCCCCACACCAACCAGACTATAAATCGGACTTTGACTGAAGATCAGAAATGCCGGTTTATAGAGCTTTCTGGCTGGTCAAGTGCCAGCTAGCTCAGCTTTTACCGTATAAGGAACTTGTTGCAGCGTGGCACAGAAGATAGCCTTTTGCTGGTCTATTTTTAAAACAATCATTCTCTCATAAGCTGTTTGTAGTAATTGTGACAGATGTTGTGGTGAAAGTCTACTTGGGTCTCCTCTTTGGGGTGTGTGGGGGGTCTGTCTCTTTTAGAGCCCGACCTCTGTGACCAGCCTGCGAGCCTGCCTCTGAGCTCTGGGGAAGTACGGGCAGCTCCTTCTGGCCAGCCATGAGCTAGGCTGGGAGTTTGATCCTTCCCTGTGAATGCTATGCCTCAAACATGCTCCTGTTCCTACCTGGAACCACTGTCTGTCTGCTTCCCTCTTGGCACAACAAGGCTTTAATGATGGCTGGCGACAGGAGAAATGCCAAATGCCATGCACCTTCTTCTCCTCAATGCTGCCATCTCTGCATGGTATCTGTACCAACCAGTGGGCTCAGAAGCCCATCTCTGCATGGCCAGTCAGAGTCTCCAGTCCCTGTCTATAAACGTGCATTACAGATGCTGAGAGATGGGTTGTGGAGGGGGCTGTACAGGGGTATTTAAGGTAGGATACATATGCAGATATTCTCAACCAGTGCCAGAGGGAAGTGTCTTTTATGCAGGGTACAAAGATGGCCCAGACCTCTCCAACAAGGGGGCTGTTCTCCACCCAACGCATTGAAGAAACGCAACACAATGGGCAAGATTCAAAATCACCCAAGCACCTAGCCTCACACTTCTGAAGATCTAGAACACACTAAGAGCCAAACCCAGACCTTGAGATTCACTCGAGTGGCACCTACCTACACTAGGCTTGAACTTGGCCCTGATTTCTGAAGAACGCCTTCACATTTTGGGGGTGAACCTTAAAGGTTCAGAATGCAGGGAAAGCCCCCCAAAGACCAGTTTGCTTCTCTGAACACTGTGTCTCCCCAAAAGCAGCAGGGGAAACTCTCCAGAACAGCTACAAACGCTTGCAACATGTCACCACTTCCATCACCCATCCCAGAGGCACGGAGACTTTCAGGAGTGAAAAATGATGGGCACTACCAGAACTTTTAAACCTCGAAAAACAGCTTCAGTTCACATTCAGATTCCTCCTTAATACAGCTTGAGATCCCCGATTCAGATGCACATGCCAGCTGAGATTTTCAAATCTGCCTGAGAGATCTGGACACCCAGTTGCGATTAAAATTAGTGGGACTGGCGCATCCAACCTATGTGTCTACATTGCAGGCTTGCCCTGGGTCCTGGCTCATGCACACACGAGCACGTTAGCTAAGCCCACCTCCAAGAATCCACATTGCTATGCCAAACGTGCCCTACACTCGGGTATACCTGTGCCTGGCGCAAGGATTTCTGGGTGCGTATCCCAGAATTCTTGGCGCCTAGCCAACTGGAGCCACTCTAGGATTTGGTTCCTGGCTTGTTGTAGAACTTGTCTGTCCTCCCCGAACCCTTGTGTGAAAGTGGTTTCAGCTCACCAGCTCTGCACGCTCCTCCCTTCTGCCTGTTCCCACTGGGCTCAGCTGCTGCATTTAAAGCCAGCACGCTGCCACTGAGCAAGCTTTTAGAAAGGAAATCGCAGCCAGAATGTCATCCTGGATCACCCACCACAGAAACAATCAAAATGTAAATCAACCATCAAGAGCCTCTCTGGAATCTGCTGATCTAATCCACCCCTGCAATAGTTCCTCACATTGGACAAATGGCTTCTTTGCCTCTGGCAGGCTGTGTTATTTTTGGCATTGACATCTCCAAGAGAATGTCACTTTGAGGGGGTGGGGATGGGGGAACATCAAACACTATCCAGGTAACATGACAGTCCCTATCTGCTCTGACGACTTCTTAACCTTAGATCCATTCAGGGAGAATGCTCCGTCAGTGCCATGCGGCCTCCGTCTCCACGTGCCAAATAGCACAACGCTTGCGTGCTCTGACTTATTTACTGGTGACAAACTCCCCTCTGTGTTATATGCAACAACATATAGCGCTGGTGCCTTTAGTGACACCCACCTCCACCGACTTTCATGGCTCTGCATCCCCATAACAACAGAACCTCGTCCGTCTAGTATGTTTTCTTAAAGCCAGTTTGCTTCTTAAATCCATTGGTTATTGGTATGATTGCTGCGTTCAGTGGAACGTAGAGGACCAGACTGAGATCAGGGCCCTATTGGGCCAGGTGCTGTACAGATACATAAGAGGCAGTGCCTGCCCTGAGGAGCTGGCATCTAAGTGAACAAGAACAACCGGGAGGAAATGAACTGTTACTGTCCCCATGAGAACTCAGCTGACAATTCAGAAGCTGTTTCTCCCCCAGCTTGACTGCATCGGCAGATCTAACGGGAGCCACATCTTGTTGTTTCAGTAAAGTAAGTAGATGTAACCTGGAGATATGTAGGGAGCAGAGGAGCTGAGAAAGATGCTCTTTTCGGATCATAACCAGACTCGGAAGAACTGCAGTATCAAAGTGTTTTCACATGCAGAATGCTCATTCTGCTAACTGGTCAGCAGAGTCCTTCACTCAGATGGTCAGCTCTTTGGGGGCAGGGACAGTATTTTTGTTCTGTGTTTGTACAGCGCCTGGCACAACGGGTCCAGGTCTATGACTGGGGCTCCTAAGCGTGAGTGCAACACAAACAATAAGTATCCATTTCATGATCTCAGTGTAACAGTCTCCGCCTACTTCTGAATCCACCTTTATTTGTAAATTACCCAGAGAGCATTCGTCTCCTCTCCCCTATACCATGGAATGAAGGCCAAGTGATGGAGGTTGCTATGTACAAAGAGGCCTTCTGCATTTGTCTAATAAAAACTACAGCCCCCAAGAGGCTGGGAAATTTCCATACTAAGGCCTCACCTAAAAAGAGAAGTTGCACCTGTTTTAAATCTCTTTAGTTAAAGCCGTGCAAGCCACTATGTGGACATAATTCAATTGGTTTACATTTACCAAATTAAGCTAAAGTCGAGATAAGCCAATTGCAAAACAATTCAAATGCATCTATCAGGAGAATGCACCAGAGTTTAACTCAAAGAGATTTAACAAACATTTTAAATCAGTGCAACATTTGTATGTAGACAAGGTCTAGGTGTCCACTTTACAATCATGCAAGGCTCTTCAAAGAAGCTTCTCCTGCTGGTATGATGGAGACATGGACCCAAGCAATAGCTCCATCCACAAGATGGAAGGAAATCCACAAATGAGAAAAGAGGATAGAACCGTCACCTCAAACCTAGATGCAAAGCCAGGAGAAGTCAGCATCTCAACTGGGGCCAGTCACCTGCCACTTCTTGATTACCATATAACCTTGAAGATGACAAGCCTTCAAATCTTGCTTTGGTTGTTCCCACAGAGCTTGACGGATTACTGATTAATTAGTGGAAAACATGAGTGAGCCTCAGCTTTAATACACAGCTTAACGCCTGTTAATTAGAAAAGCTGATGGGATCCCTTAACGGCCCTTCTGCTGAGAATGTCTGGCCTCCACTTTGCTGTATATCTTCAGCTTGCTAAACAACACAGTTTTTATTTTTAAGTTCCCCACTGCAGAGAGGTTGGCAGAAGTCAACTCAAAATTCTGCACTGCCATTTCTGCCGGCTAAGACTCAATCCATGCCCTGCACCTTGCTCAGCAGAAGCTCCCCAGTCTCACCTTACTTCACGACACCTACAGGACTGGTAGCCAAAGCCCACCCTGTTGGCTAAATACAGCCCATGGAGAGTTCTGCATCATGGCACCCTGCTGCCCTCCCCTTTCACATGGAAATGGAACCCACCAGGCCATGCGTCCCAGCATGCAGCGCTGAATCTTGACACAAGTGGCCCGCAGCTTGAAGCAAGGTGGATGTTGTATGGGCAAATCAAGAAAGAGCAGAGCATGCTGGGACCTGGAGTCTTCATTTGCAGCTCTTCATATGGAAGAGAACACTGAACACCCCAGCAAGGGGAAGAGTTTAATGGGCCAGTCTTGATGACCTTCTGTAGCATTCTTCCCCCTGAACCCTGAGAGTAAGAGGAGAGCCCTGCAGTACAAACCTTTGCATCTGCGCCGGTTTGTTCCCTGCCGAGGGATGGTTGGCTGGAGCTGCCGCCTCCTCCAACGTAGATGGGCGTTTCAGATTAGGCACCACCCCTCTGGGAGCATGGTTTTCCTCACTGGTTTTCCCCTGAATGCTCACCACCACCTGGTGATCCTGCAGAGAGGACAAAGAGCTGTACAATCTACCTGGCCACTCAGACCCTCACGGCCGCTTCGTGTTTGGAAGGTTCCTCGTTTTGGATCACATCTTTCATCAGGGAACATTAAGACAGGAATCGCTCTGCAGGGGCAATGCGTTCCCTGCCAGCCATGCTACCATTTTCTGAGCAAAGGAAAGTAATTCATGTCCCAGAGAGTTAAGAAAAATACCTTTCTATCAGGCGGGCTATGTGAAATGTACTTGCCCTGTCCTCAGCAGGCCAATGCCCATGGGACAAAAGGACAATCCTATGGTCACACCTTAAAATAAGGGTACAGTAATTACCATGTAACTACATTGCGATTAGTGTTATTATACTGTGGTTTGGCTTGTCAGGATGTAATTAACACTTACTCATCTTCACAACATCTCTGTGAGACAGGCCGGTGCTATTATTAACTCCATTTTACAGATGAGGAACTGAGGCATCAAGTGACTTGTCCCAGGTCACACAGAAAGTCTGTGGCAGAGTAGGGAGTTGAACCCATTCTTCTGAGTCCCAGGCCAGGGCCCTAGTCACTGGACCATCCTACTGAGTACATACAGGATGTCCTTACTCAAAGGCAGAGACCAAGAGTGTTTCTGGACCAGGCCAGCCGTGAAAATCCACATCCACATGTGGTTTGAAAGATAAATATAGTTTGGGGCTCCCCAACCAGTGGCTGCATAAAAGATGCCTGCAGCGACGCACAGAGAGAGAAATAGGCACTGACTGATCAGGGACCAACACGGCAAACATCTAAGGTTTCTGGTGCCTCTTTCCCCCACCTGCGCTCTAGCATATATTCCCCCCCCCCCCCGTCTCCGATCTTCCCGCATTCACCAATGCCCAGCTTCATTTCTTGTGTCTCTACACCGGGCTAAGGCAGCATTTTTAGCTCTACCTGCCCATCACTGTGGGACCCTGAGATGTGGGTTCCTGGCTCTGCCGCAGACTCGCTGTGTGACACCAGGCAAGTCACTAACTGGGGGAAGTCAACGGGAGCTGCGGGTGCTCAGCAGGTCGGGAAAGAGGGATCTTAATCTCTCTGCAACAGCTGCAATACGGGGATGATCACACTCCCCCGGGGGGCAGGTAAATTCATGATGGCTACAAAGTGCTCAGATGCCATGGTGAAGAGTGCAATAGAAAAGGCCATGAATAACTATGGATGAGCAGTGCCCTCCGGAGCTAGATGAATGAAAAGGAGAAGTAGAGGACGTGGCTGGTCGCCCACTTATTCCCTGCCCATTGGCTGATGGTGGAGTCAGTTCCACTGACTGCACAGCAGAAGAACCAGCCTGTAGCTGAGGCCCATAAAATCCCAGGGTCTCATCCAAAGCCCATTGGAGCAAATGAACAGGCTCCTCCTAGTATGTGGATGAAGCCCTAGGTCCACCTCTGGGCTGTAGCTAGATGGCAAAGAGGGGTAGCCAGGATGAGGTTAGATGAAGACATCCAGGGTGAACTATTTGCAGAGCAAGCATTTTCCAAGGGGCAGGAATCCTGCTGCCATGGGATTGCAAGCTCCAGCCCTTCTCGGTACTACTGTCCAGCAGTTTGCAAAGAGAGTGAATCAGAGTCTAGAGAGAACTGGGGAAAATGAGAAGCGGAAACAGTCCGACCACTTCATTAAATCCTGCTTGGCTGCACCTCAGGCCAGGAGTCAGCACTCTCCCCCGGGAGGAGAACACCCAGGGAAGAGGAAACGCAAACACCTCGCAAAGGATCATTTCCTGAAGACTGAGCCAGAGAGGGATTCACCTTTCCCTGCCGCTCAGAGGGAAGAAATCTCCACATGAAAATCAAAGCTGGAAACCAAAAGCGGTCAGACTCCGGGGGAGGAAAAAAGTCATCTCTCACGACCAACAGAAATAAAAACACCCTGCTTGTTCACAGTGGATCTAGTGGCAGCAGTCGCAGCAGATTAGCACATTAAACCGCGCCACAGCATTCCGGGGACTGGAAAACACGGGGTGCACGTTAACATTGAAGGAAATGGTCAGATTCAAGTGCAAAGCTGCTCAGAATTCAAGATTTGCCACACTTCATGGCACGGGCACCCCTGGAAATGTTTCACCTGGGGTGCACTCACCCTGCGGTGGTGGCTGGGCCTGGCTCCCCACTCTGGTCGCCATGACCCAGCTCGCGGGATCGCGGTGCCACCAATGCCACTCACCAAAATTTGACCCAACATCTCCATCATGATGGAGGAGATACAGAGTCAAACCTGAGTGGCACTGAGGCACTGCACGACGGGTCACAAGACCACTCAGTTTGGGGGTCCCCTCAAATGGGAGCCTGGGGCAAACTGCCCTTTTTGACACTCCCCCCACCGGGCAGCCATGCCCCCTGCCATGGGTATGCACTGTTCGTAACGTGTGTATGGCTGCGGGCGCCGCTGCTTCGTTACAGACTGCAGGAATTGACTCAATTTTGTGCTGAACGATGTCTGTTTCCCAGGACAGGGGGGCTGGTTTCCCTTCCAAATTTAAAAAGAGGCTGCTGGATCCAGACAGACCCTGGGGTTCTCTCTCAGCCTGACCGGCAGCCTGTGCTGTCTAGTGTCACAGACTCTCCCTAAATCCTGGCCTGGATTATACACTCCACTTACCGAGTTCCCATTCTGCACACTGTTCACTGTCCGTGTGAATCGGATCACAGGGGTGTCCCCATGTCCCTGCAGCCGGGCAGGCAGGGCTGCTGGTGGCGGATTGGCTTCCTGCAGTGGGGCCGGATGGGCAAACAGCACATCGCTCTGAGGCCTGGGGCCATCACTATTATGCGAGGTCTGGCCTTGGGGCAAAGTCTCCTCTCCCTGGCTCCTGACCCCAGAGATCTGTGGTCTCATCAGGCTCCCACCAGGGGGCTTCTCCTGATCCACGGAGCTCAGCAGCATTTTGGCCCCATTGGCTGCAAACACCTGGAAGGAGGAGAGAAGACAGAATTTTGCAAGGCTGCGTTAATTGCGGGAAGGGGGGAGAATTAACCCCAGGTACTCAGCCACCCCAGCAAGCAGCATTCCTCTCGCCAGGAGACTTCACATGCCCAGGTTTGGACCCAGCAAGGCCCAATGCCAGGGTACTGTACCTTCTGCCTAGAGAATTGTAAATGGTTGCTGCCCGGCACCGGGGGCTGTTCCTTCAGTGCCTGGAGCTGCTCTTGCCCCTTCGCAGGTCCCACTTCCTTGAAACTTGGCATCTTCTGCAGAGCTTCCTTGAGCTGCCTGAACTCCTCCATCTGGGTCTAGGGCAATGAGAAGGGCAAATAAAAAAACTCAGGTGACAAAGGGTTAATATTTCCCCGCTGGGAAAAGCCATCACTACAGAGTCCTGCCCTCCTCTAGGCTAGGGGTGGGCGTTCGTGTGCAAGAAGGGGCTGGAGAGAATTCACATTGATTGTCCAGCACCACCCCATCAATGACTGCAGCAAGTCCCCAAGAAGAGCTAGTCTCTGCCACGGTCATTCTCCAGTCTGTCCCGACAGCACAGATATCCCTCATTTCAGACTCAGTTTTTCCCTACCCTGATGGCGTCCAGCTTTTACCATCCGTTTTTTACATCGGAAATGCTGACCCATGAAACCGACTTTACAGCCTACGTTGCAGAACGGATTCCTTCTGCCCTTACACCTCTGGTCCCTTTCATTTTGGGTCACACGTACGTACGGGCTCTTCTCCAGGGAACCATTTCTCAGCGGATGTGTTCATCTCAGAGGGGTTGACACAATAATTGGCTTAATTCTACTTGACCATTCAATTTACTAATGGATTCCCCTGGACTCCAAGGCAAATGTAACACTTTTCACTTTGCTGCAGCTTATCAGCTCATTTCCTCCCTCCCCACCCTAGAAAGTGAAAGGGCTTGAAAAAGCCTTTCAGGAAGGGCTGGACACTCCTTTATTCATAGGGAAGTCTGTGTGGGAGGAGGGGTGGGGAATTCTTTGCATCCGGTTGACAAACCAGGGTTGGGTGGTAAGTCTTCCAAGCAGAGAGGAAAGTTTGGGAGGAAACTTCCTTGAGCAGAGGTTGTTCATTTCAAGCCTCTCCTTTGTGATCATATTTTGCTTTGACCTCAGAGGTGGCGGTGCGTGGTTTAAGAACGGACAAGGCAGCATGGGAAAGTAGGTGAGGAATGGCTTCCGGATCAGCCCAGCTGGTAGGAGAAGATTGGCTAAATTAGAACAAACCAGAGAGATTTCATTCTAGCAAACCCAGCACACAGAGGGGAGGTTTTAAATATACTATGATCTACAGGAAGTTATTTGGAGTCTAGCACAAAGGATTTCATGTATCAACTCCTGGGTTCTGTTCCAGCTCAGCCACTGATTCACCCAAGGTCTTGCAGAGTGAGAGTCATTTCGCCCCTCTGGGCCTCATTTCACCCATCTGTACGATCAGAGCACCAGCTACTCAATGCTCCTGTCAATTTACTAAGGCATGCCAAGGGCTTTGCAGTCCTTGGATAACGAGCACGCCGCATAAATTCCCTTTGCATAAACGCCCACCTGTCGTCTGCAGCAGGAAGGCAGGATTGGTGCAAATCAGCACTGCAGTAAGAGAAAGAATTGCTGGCGGATGCAGGGAATCTGCTGGCTTAGCTACCAAGAGTGAAATCCTGGGCCCAGTGAGGTCAATGGCAACCTAAATTCAACCTCCTTGTGCATCTACACATTAGGATAGTCTGTTACTGTGTGATCACAAACTCTTTTTTCCACAGGACACAGCACAAGGGGGTGAAAGAAGGTAACACAGGCAGCCTTGCTTCTGGCATCTCCTAATTTCCGAGTAATTGACTTTGAACATGTAATAATCTTTTAATGTATTTTTTTAAATGTCAGAGAGAAGGGGTGTGTGTGTGTCTGTGTGTGAGAGAGAGTGTGTGAGAGACACACACAGACACAATATGCTTGATTTTCTGAGTGCTTTGCTGTAATATCCCCAGCACAGAATCCACAAAAGGGCCTTTGAGAGGTGCTTGGCTAGAGAATAATTCACCCTTGATCCTGCATTCTCTGCCAAGGTGCAAATGCTCTCAGCACTTAGTGAGCCAGACAAGAATATTTTAGCTACAAGGGTGACTGGTAATGGACATAGAGCCGGTAGCTCCTCGGGGTTTGACCCAGGCTGCTCCTGAAAACCGGTCACCCTCCAACAGCTGTTCAATGGCCTATATGAGCTGGCTCAGTCTCAATCTGCTTCATAGAGGACAGGTGCCCACACCACTAAATCCACATTTGAGGCGATTTCTGAGCGATTTGGTAAAGAGGCCAAAACGACAAATGAGTGGAAAGGCTGAGCTGCATTTCAATCCGCAGCAAGGGTGCTGTCGGGTAGGGTGAGGGCACATGTCTGGAGAAGCTTGCATCACCTGCTGGTTGTGGTGCTGGTTAAGAGTGCTGGCCTATTTGAATCCCGGGAGGGAGGGAGCGCCTAGGCCCACCCAAAACTAAAGCCCTGCCCACACAACTGAGGGAGGGGCACCATCACCAGGACCCAGCTGATTTCTCAGGACAACAACTGGCACAGGAGTGAGGGTCAAAACAAGGGTGCCAGCTGGAGACACCAAGCAGAGGACTCCAGACAACACCCACCACTCCCTGAAGGAATGAGCGGATGCTGCCCAGGGGAGCTCTGCACGGATTTGTGAAACAGTGAGGAACAGAAGTAGGCCCTCAGTGAAGGGGGCTGGATTGACTGAGGTCCTTTATTTATTCCCAGATTGGGCACATCACAGACTGGGCCCATGGGAGCCGTCCCACCACCATGCCTCAGCCGTGAGGAGGAGGGGAAGGCAGTTCAACCATCAGGCTAGTCTCTGAGTACGTTGGTGATTGTTTGGGCACCAGCCCAGGGGGAAACTTACTGAGATACCCCCTCATCCATCCAATTAAATGTCACATTGGCCAGCCAACAGCTGTCAGAGCGACTGCGTTCAGATCCAGCGACCTGGACTTGAGCCAACAACCAGCGCTGGATGCAGGTAACTAACCTGAAGCGATGAACTGTTCGTGAAGTTGGCACTCCCTGGAGCCATCCAGAGCAGAGCAGGTCAGGAGACAAGAACAATGTTGCAAATAAGAGGAAGAAAAATCCCCTCCTCTCCAGCCCTTAGCAACCCCGATGCCTAGCTCAGGGGAAGGATCGGCTGTCAGCCGCATCCAACCACAGCCAGCTCCCCGCTTCTGAGCTTAGCTCACAGCCCAGGAGAGTGTTTGACAGCAGGCTGTTAATTAGCAACAGAATACGTTAATCCAGCCAGTGACATGACTTCAGAAAATATATTGACAAAGCTGCTGGAGTGTCTGGCTCATTTTGAGGGCCTCAGAAAGACACTGATCTCCCCCTCGGTCTCTCCTCTCCCTCGGTAATCTGCAAAGTCCCAGCTTTATCCAGATTTGCACAGTGCCTCACTGGAAATGCAGTGCCTGCCCATCATGAGGCCCCTATGGCCCTCAGCCCCATCTTGGAGCAGTGGGACTCCTGCAACTTGCAGGGATTCAGGGGCCGTGTTGATCGCAAGCCCCTCTCCAGGAAAACTGCATCCGTTACATGCTCCTTGCTCTTCAGGCTTCCCTCTCTGCCCCAAAAATTCAACCCCCGCTCGACAGCTTTTACACTGAACAATGACATGTTGTTGGTGTCGCTCTTAGGAGCCCTTCCAAGGCCTCCCTCTCTGCAAAAGCATCAGCACACGAAGCAGCAAGAGAGCCGTTTTCTACCATTTGCGAGTGCCTATTTGTATTCCCAAGCGAGTCCCCGTCTCGACCAGGCAGGACAGCCCTGTGATATTTCTCTCTGCAATTAATTTGATAGCCGTTGGCAGAAGGTGACTGAACACCACTCGGGATGAAAATGTTCCTGAGATCTGGGTTTAATGACACACGCTGGTTATTGCGGGAGGAATTAACCCACAGAGAGCTTGGTTAATGCTTACTACTGTCTCAACCATGCAGCAGGGATCATTGTGACTCCAAGGACTGGCCGGGCCCAGTGCTCGGAGAGTTTTACTGGTCCTGAAAGCATCTGTCCTGCTCCATCAACCAAAGCACCTTTGCAGCCATCTCAGCCAGAGAAGTTCAGCAGCCACCTGTATTTATTATTTGTTGTTTGCACTATGGTAGTGTCTATGGATCTCAATTAGGGATCCGGGCTCCCCATCATGATATGCATCATGCAAATACCTAATGAAAACACAAATCCCTGAAGAGCTGCTTGCATCAAGAGCTAGGATTAGCAGTGGAGACTTCAGATCATTTGAGAGCAGGGGCTCAGAGGATTTTAGCAAAGATACCTTGGAACTCCAGTGGCTGGGGAGGAAGCAAGCTACTAATCAGAATGGCGTTATCTCACGGGCAGTGGTCTCACACCCTGCTAGCACCTTTTAAGAGTGCAAGACAGTTGCCCCTAATACTAGGGGACTCAAAACCATGCCAAGACTGTACTGGTCTCTTAGTCTAGCATAGCGATGGGCCTCAGCCCCAAAGCTCAGATCCAGATTTCTCCCCAGCTCAGGGTTTTGGTTCATCCCCTTACAGGCAGATGTTCCTGAATCTCTTCCCCCCCCAAAGCCAAGGGTCACTTGGCTCCGCGGTTTTGATTCCCGTTCTAGCAGCATGATAGTCTTGGGACTCACTCTGGGCCTAACAGAACAAGTCCCAGACCAGTGTAACCTCTGATCTCTGGGATGATATTGGTGTTGGCTCAGTTTGGGATAAGCAGAATTAAAAGATGTCAGGGGAAAAGGTCTGTACAACAAACCCCACAAAGCCCCTGCAGGAACACAGGCTGCAAAGCTCTTTCCAAAGGATTCAGATTGAAAAAAAGCAGGTTTTTTTCATAATACAGAGAGCTGAGTGCTAGAGACAAGTAGATCTTTGGGGGACTTGCCAGATACTTTTAGATGGTTCGCATTAAAACCACACCGGCTGCTTCCCTTGCCTAATCTGTGAATTGTGTAACTAAGGGCTTGTCTACACTTACCGGAGGGTCCGGCGGCAGGCAATCGGTTTTCTGGGATCGACTTATCGCGTCTAGTGAAGACGCGATAAAAATCGATCCCTGATCGCTCTGCCGTCGACTCCGGAAATCCACCGCGGCAAGAGGCGGCAGCGGAGTCGACGGCAGCGGTCGACTTTCCCCCGTCCTCACCGCCAGGTAAGCCGACCTAAAATACGCAACTTCAGCTACGGTATTCACGTAGCTGAAGTTGCGTATCTTAGGTCGGAACCCCGCTGTAGTGTAGACCTAGCCTGAGACTTTTGTGCTAGAACAGAGACAGGAAAAACAAACAGCTGTTCCAAGTGAATTCAGTGCTTGTGAAGAGCACTGACGGGGCAGCCCTGGAGATTGAAAGCTTCCCTTAGCGAAAAAGTGGACAAAACATGGACAGTATCAGAGCAACCTTCCCCGACACCTCCCTCCAGACCTGCCTCAGCCCTCATCTTTGTGCTGAGACTGCTAAGAAGGGCACCAAGGAGAGTCAGTTGCAGCATGGGCCTTGTAACGCAGACCCCTCAGCTGAGACTATCAAGTCACTGCACACAGAGCATCAGAGGGGAACAGTTTCCAGTTGCACTCACAGCTGGAAGGCTGCGTATCTCACTGCCATAGAACCGAGCTGGGGGTGGGAGGAGTGAGGGCAGAGCTGATCTTGGAACTGGGGCTGGATATCGTCTTCCCCACCTCAGAAGAGGAGGCAAAAAGAAAATTCAGCTGGCAAGAGGCTTCCCTATTGAATGATCCATCAAGGTAGTAAGGGAGCAGCAGTTCCCTTTGAAAGGCCGAGGGTGGCTTTGTTAAAAGCCTCGGAGCTGGAGGATGTGCTGCAGCCCTCCTAGGCAGAGCCAAAAAGGTCGGGCATCGGAAATGGAATGGAAGATTGCTTCAAGGATCATCTCCTGAACAAAGCTCCAACGAATACTGACCATAAGAAGTGCCCAGGCTGTGGCAGATTTCCGTCCAAGTGCAGCCAGCTCTTTGGTACTGGGAGCAAAGAAGGTGGGTTTCTTTCTGCCGTTTAATAACAAACGACCTCTGGAAGATGCCAGGGAGTCCTCACCCCTGGTTTTCAGATGACCTCCCAGTCTATGCATGAAATCCAATCGGTCCTCTCCATTCAGGTATCCCACTGGGATGGGAGAGCTGCCGAGTCAGGAAATTCTACGGTGCAACTCAGCGTACGCCACGGACTCCGCAGACAAGTCCTACCTGGGAGATCCGTCCTTGCCCCGGCCAGTGCAGAGCTGTTCCCTAGTGCTCTGGCTAATTAAAGCACTCCAAGGATGATGCTCCCATCACTTCAGTTCAGAGTTTATTCCCTGGGGGACATTTTTCATTCTTGGGATGCTCTGCTCACATTTCCCTGTGTTCAGCTTCATCCACAGCTCCTGTGACCTCCCCTAAACAAATCCCCTCCCTTCCTAGTATCCACACACTTCAAATGAGACCACTGCTCGCCCCCCCCCCCCCCCCAGCACCTTCTCAAAGCGCTCTGCAAGCACATCGCTTTATAAAGCCACTAATGCTGGTCAAGAGGCCAGGGCACAAACCAACAACAGCGGAAAGCCCCGGGAAACCTTAAGGTCAGGAGATCCCTCATCTCATCTCAGCCGGCAGCAAAGCACCGTCTCCGATATAAGGTCTATGTGCACTGAGTCACTAGGCCAAACCGGCTTTACAAGCACAAAGCCTCTTGCCATTAATCCCTCTGCAGCTGGGAAGCCTTATCCAGTTGGTGTTTGCGCTCTAAGCCGGTTATAAACACCATTCATCTGAGTTCAGGATCAGGCCGTTGCGTTCAGGCTACCTTGTTACGAGCCCGGCGAGGGCACAGCATCTATTACCTGAGCATCGAGGAGCTGAGAGTGGACATCCTGGTGGGCCTGCCGGAGAAGCTTGCTCTCCTCTCGGAGTTTGAAGACGGTATCTGCAAGAGGAGAGCGAGAACACAGGTGAACACGACGGTTTGGCTAAGCGCAGCTTCTCGCTCGCATCCCGTTCACCCAGATGAAAACGCCGGGACTCTCCAAGCACGAGGAAGATCAGGTGGCACTAGCCAGGCACCACTGGAGCAGCCTCTCAGATATAGCCACCAGCCCCTCCTGTCAACCCAAGTAACTCCCTCCTCTAGAGAGGGACCTAAACACCAGATGGCCGCAGGGGGTGGTCAGGGGCAGTCACCATGTTTATGCCCTTTGCTAGGGCAGAATAAGAGGTTTTCCTTCACTTGCAGCCCAGCTATTCTCCTGCTGTTTATTGGCAGGCAGGTAGCGACGCCAGAGCCCCTACTCTGGAAGGAAGGCGCTTCAGGCAGGGCATCCGTGACAGAGTATGGTTAACCCTCAAGCACATACAGCAACTGCAGAGCGCATCAGACCGGGGGTGCCAATCCAGCACGGCCTCCTGTCTCCAATCTCTCAGACAATCAGTTGCTTCAAAGGATGGTGCAAGAAAGCCTGGAGAAGGAAGTTCTAGGTTAACCTGGCCATGGGGGAAGTTACTTCCTAACCCGTTCAGCGGCTGGCTTGTGCCCTGAAACATCAGGGTTGTACTCCTTGCAAACTCTTCATGCCGTCACTAATGCATGAAAGGCTACGCACCAATTCCAACATACTGCATTGCACTGAATACAAGAACTGACTATATCCCCAAGGGAAGAGACAGACTGTGCCAGCCTTATTCTGGGCTCTGCCGGAGGCTGTATTAAACCACCACTAGACCCTCAAACCTGCCCTGGTGTGTATTTTAGCCTGCAAACAGCTCTGAGGGGCCTCATGCCAAGCGAGGGCATGGTATTTTCACTCACCATACAGCCACTTCACTGTAGGCTGAATTGGCAGGTTAGATTTCTGTTTGAGATTATAGGTCTTCCTAATTACAATGGTGTCTCTATTCACTGTGTGTGTCACACCCGAGGGGGGAGGGCCTCATAGCCCGGGCTTCAGCCTAAAGCCCGATCGTCTGCACTGCGGTTTTTCTAGCCCTACAGCCTGTGCCCAAGTCAACGGATGCAGGCCAGCCACGGGTGGTTTATTACAGTGTGGACATACCCAGCGGGGCCAGGATGTCACCTCTTGTCTTTAGGGGGTTTCTCTAGTGCAAGTTCAACCCTGGTCAAATGTGCAGAAAGCACAGATGCTTGAGGGGCAGCTCCACGTGGCGGGAGAGATTAGAGCCAGGGGCTGTAAGGGGGAGACCTGGTGTTACTACACGTAAAGTCCTATAACGAGGGAGTGGAAAAAACAGCAGGGAACATAAAGTGGGGGTGTGCGTGGGGACCTGGGGAGAGGCAGACCCCAGCTCGCTCAGCAGTGTTTGCAACCCTCGGAGGTCTTTGAAGAATCAGTATGCAGTGATCCAAAGATCACAAAGTGCTTTACAAAAGTGGGCAGTATCTCCATGCTACCACCTGGGAGACATAAACCAGTAAAGTGACCAGTGACACAAATGAGGCACAGAGCTGAGAACACAACCCAGCTGCCTTGCCAGCAGTCACCTGTTCGAACCACCACCCTGGCGCAAGAGTGGGTAATTCTCGTCACAACACCTGCTAAGAACCACCTGCTTTCCAGCTGCGTTACCAAAAGGTTCCTGCTGCTCTGCTGCCTCCTTTATTTTCAATTACAGAGGGATCTCTTATCCTCGTTCATAGATGGTGGTTTCAAACACCACCTTCCCACAAAGGAAAGATTTACCAGCCAGCTTAGAGTTAATAATACAGGAACGATATCGTACCGAGTGAACGAGCAGCCGGGAAGATGGGGACTGAATATCAATTATCTCAGGCTGAAGTCAGACTCCTTGAGTAGATTTTTTTTCCCACCCCCTAAGTGTTTTTTCTGAGCGTTATTCCCCTTTGCTTTGATAAAGATCATTTTTTTCGCTGTGTGTTTCAAAGAGAGAGATGGAATCAAATATTTGGGTAATCTATTTAGCCTGCATGTAGGGTTTCTTTTTCCACCTTAGCAGCATTACTCAAATATTAGGCTACAGCGATCCTTTAAAAAAAACCACATCAGCAGCTTTCACTCTCTCAGACCCAATCCAGGGGCTAGAAGTGAACCTCAAAAATCTCACGACCTCAATAAAAACTGAACTAAATAGACATGCTCTGCGGGAATTAGAGGTATCAGCATTCCCTGCAGCAATTTTTGCCATTAGAAGACTTTTATATACACGAACCACTAATTAAAAAGGGAGGGTTACATTTACTCCAAAATTTAGGTTCTAGAATTTACGAGACCTAATGTCAGAGCAACAGAAACTGTTTAACGAAAAAGTAGATTACAGGGAAGTGAGAAGATTCCATTTAAATCTCCTTCTGTAATGCGGGACACCCAAACCCTGCCATGCTAGACTAGTGCGGCAGGAAGTGACTCTGGCTAATCTAGTTTCACTCTCCTTGCTGAATGAAATGAAAGGGAGAGGCAGTGTGGTCCAGTGAGTAGAACACTGGCCTGGAATTTAGGAGACCCTAATTCTATTCCCAGCTCTGTCACCCACCTGCTGTGCAACCTTGGGCAAGTCACTTCCAAGCTCCGTGCCTTAGTTTCCCCTCCCACTCCTTGTCTATTTAGATTGTAAACTTATCAGGGCAGGGAGTGGGTGCAAGGGGGCCCTGATCTTGACTGGGGACCTCTGGGCAGTGATTTAGGCCAAGAATGTTCAAAATATTAAACCAGCGTGACCTGGATTTTCTGAGCTCCAGTTTAACCAGGGGTGAAATGATATCCCCTGTGATTGTGGCAAATATAGTAACTCCGTTCCCCTGTGACTCCACCCCTGCATTGCTTAGGGAGCTCCACTGGTTGAGCTCCAGCTCCAAGGAACATCTAAAATCCACAGAGGGAAGCAACTGGTTAGCCAAACCCCGGGTTTATCCAACGGGGAACGGGGGTGCAGTGGTCTGCAGGGCTGCACGGTACCGGCTCCTCCTGCGCTCTCCAAGCTGTGCCATGCCCTGGCACTGGAGCATGTCCCAGCACAGCTGGAAGTCATTCAGGGTCCGGACAGAACCATCCGGCGGGCCAGATCCAGCCTTTGGGGCACCCGCCGGACCACCCGCCAATGCTAAATGGAGAAATGTTCTAAAACTGGGATAAAACCCTGACTCTACTCAGTGCCTGAGGCCCAGGTCTCTTTGCTCACTGCATTCAGCCTGGGTCACTTCTTGATGGTCTGCTCTATGAAGGGACTTACACTGGCCTCCCACCATCATACCATCTGAGCTCCTCACACTCCTTCCATATTTACCCCCTGGGCAGGACGACAGTGCTAATACTCCCATTTTATAGAAAGAGAGCTGAGGCTAAGTAATTTGCCCAAGCACACAACAGGAAGTCTGTGGCAGAGCAGAGAATTGAACTTGGGTCTTCCAAGCACTATGCTAGGGCCTAACCACTGGGCCATCCTTTCTCTACCGTTACATGCCAGCAACCCAAAGCTGCACACGGGGCAGTGAAGAATTAACACGACCTCAGACTGCCATTGGATGCTGTCACCAGACTGCACCCACACACCGGTAATGCTCAAGGTTAAAATAGCCTGATCCCCTGGCCCTGTGCCATAAGCCACATGGCAAAGGCTCCATCTAGCTGGCTTTTTGAAGTGTTCTTTGCACACGTGCTGAGCAGCACCCGTTCTGAAGGACATGAGCGTTATACTGTGTACAACATCCCAGAACCAAATTCAGCACATATAGTTGATCAAACCGCCAATTGTGAAGCAAGAGACGGGAAACTGGAGTCAGGAGAGAAAGAACATGGGGGCTCGGCCTTCAGCTCCTCAGAGAATAACAGTGAGGCGAGAATTCAGATGATGATACGCAGACGGTGCTCAGAGAAAGTAGGACACAGGTGTACCATGGGACACAGGCACGGAGAATCCCAGCCAGACCTCCCCCAGTGTGTTTCTAGCCTTCTGCTCCAGCAGAAGCTCCTGCCACGTGGGCAACACACTGGCTAGCACAACAGCACTTCAATGCCTCCGATTTTGGATTCAGACACCCTTAGGATCCTCCAGAGCAAGCCATTCCCTTCCACTGTGTCAGTGTCTCACCAGGCAGCACCATGAAGACTCTGGCTAACAGAACATGGGCCCAGATACCATGGTGAGGGGTGTGGTAGCAATACCAAGACACAAAGAGGGAAGTGTGGAATTTCAGTACTCAGAAGGCCCTTAACTGGGCTCCCCTACGATTCACTTGAAACTTAGTTAGTGCTCATGATTAATGCTGGGTGAAATTTTTCAGCCAAAACTTCCCCTGCCCCTCGGTGAAAAATGCAGATGTGGCGACACCAAAACATTTTGTGATTTTGTGTCTGTTTCGCCAAAGGGTTCACGTAAAACAAAAACAAAAAGATAACCCACGCCAAATTAAGAAAAAGTCTAAACTCATTTTCAGTTTGAGACTTCAACTTTCGTTAGTTTTAAAAATCCAAAAAGGCGTAAAACCCACTCAAAAATCGAGACCGAGCCTTTTGTTTCGAGTCGCATGACACATTGTGTTCGACCCAAACCACATTTTCGGAATTGCCAGTGAGCCAAAAACTCCGTTATTCACCCAGCTCTGCGGGTGAGAACGGTAGGCCCAACAGCTTCTGTTTATCCACAGGACAGTTTCTGCATGGCTGGCACCAAGGCAAGCTTCCCCACTGTCCCATGCCAACAGGATTCATCCCGAACCTCCTGCGGCGAGAGACAGTCGTGGAGCCTGAACTCTTTAGTCCTTGGCCTCTCTGTAGAGACTGCCAATGGGGATGGTGTGTGCTACGGACACTGGGAACCAGACTGACACAAACTCCCTCAATATAGACCATTAAACAGCTTTCTGTCTCTACTGACCCAGCCTCCCCTGCCTCTCTCATACACGGATACCCAACTAGCCTGTACTCTGTTCAGGATCCTTCTAGCATTTGCGGAAGGGAACTAGCAGGGAGCTCACAGGAGGAAGTGCGCCCTCTCCCACACCCAGGCCGTCAGTCGCGCCTTCTCCTCACGGCGCCCTTCCAGCCCAGCTCCCCGCCATGCTCACCCTGCAAGCCTGTGACTTCACTCTCCTTCTCCCGCTGCAGCTGCGCGTATTTCTGGCTGTGGGTCTCCACCGTCTTGCGATGCTCTAGTTTCAAGCTGTTGTGCTGCAGCTGCAGGTCGAGCAGCTGTTTCTTGACGTCTTCGTGCTGGTTCTGAACGGGAGGGGAAAAAAAGCAACACTCAGGGTTGGTGCAAACCACCACCCCGTGGCTGTCTGATTCCCTCTGCTGGGACGTTTCCAAAGCACTGGCAGCGCATGCCTTTGCAGTTCCACTTCTATCACAGCTATCCAGTACAGGCCCTCTCTGCAGCCTATCTCCAAAGTCCCCCTGGCACCCAGGTAACCGGGAATAGAGTTAAAGCCAAAAGTCCATTCAACGCTTGTACTTTTCCTGACCCTCTCCCCACTTAGACACATGCTAGAATAGTTTACAGAGTAACAACCCCATGCTCTGCCGTAGCCACACCGGAAGCTGAAGTGCCCTCAGCTCCATGACTGCAGGGCTATTCCCAGTGCCGATCACCCAGACAGTTATTATTTTAGTGCGATCTCATGGTGCTGGACTGGCAACCCAGGAGGCTGCAGGCAGCGGTTCTGTCCACGGACGAGCATCACCCACACACTCTACTTTACACACATGCCCTGGAGCTAGAGGGACACGTGTGCAGGCGAGAGGGTTGAGGCTCCATGCACCACACAATCCCGGCCTCCTGGCTGAGGCTGTGAAGGCCGCAGTCAGTCAGAGCCACACACAACGGTGGGTGTTGGGCTGTCAAAGCTTGTCCGACAGGATCTGGGACTGTGACCTGCCTGCTTGTTTCATTCAGGTCTCTGAGGTGTTCCAACCACTAAGTAACGCTGCCCCAGGTGACGTTTGGGGCCGTGAAGTTCCCATATGGGACTATGAATTCCTGAGAGCTGGGGGAGGGGGGGGGGATTTGGATCCAGGCTTTTGGCTCATACCATATAAAAATGGCAGCAAGCCACAAAATTGCCTGGCCCTTTAAGCCCAGAAAACTTCATATTACTGCCAACGAAAGCAGACCACCTCCTGCACTTCCCACTGTCAGCTCACTGGAGGCTGACAAAGGGGAGGAGCGGGACACGGAGGTGTGTTTTCAGGGGTTCTTTGCCCTCTTTTTCCCCCGGGGTAGAGAGTGGAGGATTCCTCTTGAAGTTGGTTCCTGAAGTGAGGCGCCAAAAAATTCCAGACACGTCAAGGAGAGAGTTTCTAACCCACGCTGAGGGAGGGATTTGGGAGAGGACGGGCCCAAGAAGCCGAGGGAAAAAACGTCTCTGTTCTGAGTAACAATGGGGTGGGGGAAAAGAACTGGAGTCTCTCCATGGAAGCCACCCAGCTTAGCGCAGCGCATGGTGCACGTTAACCGGGAGGGAGTGCCGTTACTTGTCCCAACGTCTCCAACCGGCCGATGGATTTAGCTCGTGTTTTCTTGGAGACGCTCCTCATCCCACGTGGCCTCCTGCTGCGTTACGTTCAGTTTTCATTGGTCTGGCACATGGCTCTGGATTTCACCCAACGTTCCAGCCAAAGACCATGACCTTCCCTCGCCTTATGCATGTGGCACACTGCACCAACCCAGACATCCTTTCCAGAGCTCCTGCCGCACTGCAGGACGTTACACGGAAGGACAGAAGAGGTTTCCACGGGGTGTGTAGTTTGATCTGCTAAGCCAAGTTTCCTGAGTCCTGCACCTTTAAACAGGACAAATTCCCCTTCCTGTTGCCATTTTGCATCCCGACGTTGCCTGTCAAGCGCACACACAGAGCTCTTGCATGGGGGATTTACTTGTGTTCTCTTTTGGGTTTGCCTTCTGAAAACCTGTTAGCTGCTTTCCCCCACGGCACCAAACTGCTAGAGAACCCCCTCTCCACTAGTACAGATGGCTCGGAGCTGGAGGGAGTCCCACATCTGCTGCCTCAATATGACCCGTGGGTGACATACGGCCAACAGGCCACATATCAGCTCTGCTCCAGACAAAGGCGAGGGCATTGGGACCGGGGGCCCTAATGAGACTCATGGGCTGGGTTCAGAGGGAGTGGAGTTTCAAAAATGCAGGGTGAAATAATCTGAGAACAGACTCCGTCTCCCGGCCCTCCCCACACTACAGAACAAAACATGCTGAGACATCCTTTTGCTCAAACCCAGTGAACCAGAATTCACCTCCTTTTGGTTTCCCATAGTAACCCATGGAGTCCTTCCACACTTAGTTTGCCAGCACCAATTACATATACAAATCGACCGGCTCGCAGGTGAACTCCTGGCCCTTCAATACAATAACTCTGCAGGGCTACAGCAGTAATTCCAATTTGTTTCCCTTAAATGATTTTTTTAAAATGCCATCAGTGCTTGGAGTCATCCTCGCGGCTTCATAGAACAATGGGACGTACTTTTATAGGGCCTTCAGATCTGTGGGAAGTCCATAGCACAACCCGTCTCCTGCTGAACAATCTTACTCAGAGCAATAAGGTAAAGAGAGAGAAGCCACGGAGGTCCTCACATACATATAGTATGGATGAAAACAGTATCCCATAATCCACAGAGTTGTCCCAATGCTGATTTATGATTTGTATTTGCAGTAGCACCTGGAGACACCAGTTGAGATCTGAACCCCATTATGTAAGCGCTGTATAGAGGAGAAGAGACCGTTCCTGCCACAAACAGTTACAGTCTAGACAGACAAAGGAAGGATTACGATCTCCATTTTACAGAGATAGTCTCTCTTTGCTCAGTTCCCTAATCGACTTGCCCAGGTCACCCAGGGAGTCTGTGGCAGGTTCAGGACCTGAACCCAGATCTCCAGAGTCTCAGGGTATGTCTACACGACAAAAGAGGTGTGTCCTTAACTAGGGTTAGCGAACTGGAGTTAAAATAGCAGTGAAGAGATGGCCACTTGGCATTTAACTAGGGTTAGCTGCTCATGTTGAGCCCCAGGCTGCTTTATGGGCTTTAACCCGAGCTGCTAACAGCGTCGCTGTGTCCTCACTGCTATTTTAACCTGAGTTAACCACTCTGAGTGAAGAACACACCTTTTCTGCCGTGTAGACATACCCATTGTCCAGCTCCTTCACCACAAGAGCATCTTTCCCTGCCTGCCATTTTAAAATAAGCTACAAAGAACTGTAATGGTTTGTGAACGCAAGGCTTACTAGGGGTCCAAAGTAATTTAAACTTACATGCTCCAGGGGATTGGTCAGCCACAAATCAGCCTCAGGAAAAATATTCTGCTTAGAGCAAACTTAATGGTTTAAAAATGCTTGTAACTCAAAAGTGGGAAACATCAAGAAATAGGGAAAGCGAGGCAGCAAGGTTAAATAACTTTGCTTGAGACCTCAGTCAATGTTGGGGAGAGAAGCCATGAGTCTTGGCTGCCATTTTACCCTTTACAAGTACATCGAGTATTCACAACTTGCGGTGTACCAAGCCAGAAGTCTGGCATACACGGCACATGCTTCATTTTATAAACGCAGGAGGACTTCTCAAGTCCCAGGAGCAGCCTGGAAGTGGGTCCCTCAACAGCTCCAACAGGGTTGCAGTGTCCAGAGCTTCTGGGACCGTGCAAAAGCAACTGCACGGCCCGAGTGAGTGTGGTATGCTCCAATCTGTGGAAAAAGGCATCGAGCATAAACTCAGCAAGAGAAAGAGAAGCCAGTGGCAAGTTTGGAGCCAGAGACAGACGGTCTTAACCAGAAGGTCTGACTGCTGCTTTCAGCTTCATGTTCACCCAATTCCTATAGACAAAAATACAGGAACAAGTTTAAACCTGGAGAGTGATCCAATACCACGTGTTGCAGAAGCATGACCACCACCATCCTGGCTGTGAGCAGGGATTGAGCCATGACCCTCTACAATTTGAGCCAAAGTCCAGTAACTGAGAACTAGAACAGACTCCTCTCTGCTGTGGAATGGGTACAAGTCGGGTTGAGAACACACTCAATAGTGCATTGCACCAAGAACAGAGAACATGATGTTCCTCAAGCAAGCTCGCATTTCACGTTAACGATAATTAATTAGCACTTTTAGCTGCAATCCTTCTCTAATACATTCACAGTGGACTTACATATGTCCCTTTTTAATGTGATTTCAGCCAAATATAGTTTGAGATTACTTTCTTACATTAAAATAATTGATTGACTTAATATAAAACTAAATTTTTACAATTAATTTTTATTAAATTTATTTTAAAAAGGAATTCACGAAGAGATGCATCTTGGATTAAATTACACTGACATTTCATTAGCCTTGGATCAATTTTTCTTATTTATTTATTTTAAACATAGTCAGTTGCAGGGCAAGTTTTTTGCTCAGTTTTTGGGTTGCTGACCAAAGACTGATTTTAAAGATCTGACCTGCAGGAAGAATGGTCCAATGGTTAGAGCATTAGCTGGCAGCTAGGGTTCAATTCCTGGCTCTGACACAAACTTCCTGTGTGACCTGGGGAAAGCCACTTAATCTTTCTGTGCCTCAGTTTCCCGCCTGTAAAAAAAAAGGGGGGGGGGACGCTAATCTATTCCTACTTCAGAGAGGTGTTGTGAAGTGCTCAGATATTATGGTAATGGAAGCCATAAAGTATTTAAGATGTATTATGGATCTATCATAAAACTTCATTCAGTGTTCCCTACATCAAGCCCTTCAATTTGCAGCTGAGCAAGGGTATATCTTTTAGAAAGACATCTAGTCTTGGAGAGGTTGAAAATCACTGATCTGTGCCATGTGGAATACAGCATAAGACCCCCACATTCACTTTCCTGCTCAGAGGGTGTACAGTGCCCGAGACCTCTCTGCCAGCTGCAATTTTTATTCTGGACAGCATCTGGAGATATGGAGTACAAAATAAACAGTTCTCTCGTGGCTTACAAAGCAGCTCTGCAAATGTCAGTTTAGCAAAATGAAGAAGTAAATAATACATGCCCTGTTCCACGAGTGCTAGGAAAATGCCATTCTTTGCAAGTTCCCAGAGTATGGCAATTTTAGGAGGTCCTGGTCTACAAATCTCTTTTATTCGAATCCAGCTCTTCGTCTTTGCAGACAGTAAATGGTGACGGGTGCATTCTTCTGATGAACGTTTAAAAAAAAAATTCAGTCTCCACTCGAGATGCAAAAAGTCGTGAGAAATCACATCACAGATGAGACAGCAGCAATCCAGTCACAGCTTCTGCTACTTGTGGAGAAAGCCACGCACCTTCCACCATGAGACTCATTTCCTGTTACAAATGTCTATCACACACATACAGAGCTGGTAGCTTCTCTCATATATGCGCCCTTTCCTCTAGGAAGCCAGAAGAGGGCCTCAGTTTCCCCTCGGTGGAAGAGGGGATATTGTCTACTTTGCAGGGATTCTGTGAGGTTTAATTCCCTCCCATTTGTGAAGCAGGTTGAAATCTTCAGATGGGAGGTGCAATAACAGCACTAAGGAACATTTTGATATGCTCCCCTCTCACACAGGAAGGCAGAGAGTGTTCCAGGGTCCAGGTGGAATGGGGGGGGGGGGGGATGATGGAGAGGGGCAACCCCAGTGTGGAAAAAGACAAAGGGACATTTGTCCTGGGCAAGTTCTGCTCCCAGACAGGCCTGCGCAAGACGCGAGTTCTTTCACGGGAGGCCCTGCTGTGGTGTTGTGCACAATTCCCCCTTCTCCAATTTCGTTTTTTTGGGCAAATTTTGACAAAAAGCCCATCTTTTATTTTTGTGTAAAACTTGTGGAAATGTGTATTTTTCCCCCTCACCTTTGACGCTGCAAAGCCAGATTCGTCTGACAAAGAGCTTCCGCTCCGCCCCTCCCTCGGCACGCAGCCCCCGGTCGAGTCCTGAACACGCACAGCCCTGTTCCCAGGTAGCTGGGCTTTCCGCTCGGAACAGTTCACACACACCCCTAGCGAGGGAACCCTGCTTTGCGATTCTCCTCAGGCCCTCGCTCAGCACGGCTCCTGTAGGCTGAACTTCCCAGCAGGTAGGTGATCCTGCCCCACACCTGCGTACGAACTCTTTCCGAGTACGAGGGGCCCAGTTCAGGCAGTGGAAGGAGTCGAGTGGGAATTTGACTGGGCACTGAAAGGGCCCCAGGAAGAAGTTTTTTCTATCTGGTCAGGTCCCCCAGCCCATGCCCACCTCCTCCAGTACAACAGAGAAACGCAGTCCGCAGGTTGATACAGATCTAACACGGAAAGCGAACGATAGGCCTGTAGGCAGAAAGGAAACTGCAGAAAGGGAAGGTGCTGCTGACACAGCTGTTTTCTTAACTGATTCGGCCCTATCCGGCTCTGCACACGCAGCAGCCCTCAACAGATAGACAGGGCACCCTCTCCTTCACCCAAATCAAGCTTTCAGGCCCAGGGTGTCTAATTTTAACTCAAGATCGCCGTGGCATTCAGCTATCACCTAGAGGTACCATGACACGTCAGGCGCAATCAACATCCCCTGGGCAGCTATCCTTATGGAAGGTTCATTGACAATAATTGCTTGTAGCTCCTATTCCCTCCCAATGGCCCGTAACAGCTCTCAGAATGGGGCAAGTGGACAGCAAAAGAGCAGTCAAAGGCAGATCTTTGCACCAATGGCTTCACTGCCAGATCCCGTGGTGCTGGCACCTCCTCCTTACCCAGACCACAGCTCCTTGGTATCCTGTAAAATAGGTGATACAGAACAGCAGCCAGCCTCGGAACCAGTTACACAGCACCCTTCGTCCAACACACC